TGCATTGTCTTGTAGTCTTTGTTCATACCATATGGCACCCGTAACTAAAGATTACACGACGCTGTGTACTGATTTCAAAATGTCAATTGTGTCTTAAATATTGGATATTGGGATCTACCATTTTCACTGTAAGATTATAACAACATCAATATTGATTGAATTCTAATTCGAGTTTTTAATTTCGAAATATTATGGATAATTTTGAGTTAGAGGTTGAGCTCCTTTAATCCTAATAGTAGATAGTTTATGAATGGAACAAGTCAAGACAAGATAAGTAATATATAAGTCTGTTTTATCAGTGATAATATCAGTTAGAAGGATTGAATATCAAAACAAATATAACATATAGATTAATACAAATATATATATACATGGTCTACTGAAAGCCTTATAAATCTACAGAAAAGGGTGTCAATATCACTATATAGTTTGAATTCTATTTCTCTCATGTATTCCATTCATTTTAAAAAATACTATCAAGAGAGAGAGAGAGAAATGGGGTTTAACGTCCACTCAACACAATCTAGGTCATTTCGGGACTAACACATGCTTCAATTTTTTTATTTCAATAATTCGCTTGCGCGTAGGGGTCTTTTAGCAGTGGGAGGAAACTGGAGGTCCCGGAGAAAACACACAAGGTTGGACAGGCGACCCTACTCCTTGTCACGTACAACCGGGGAATCAAAACCCCGCCAGTTGACTCAATGACAGACCGTATGATACAGCGCGCGCGTGCTAACCATTCGGCCATCCAACCCCCCATACTATCAAGAATATAAGCAATTATGTAGTAATAAATTTATATAGTTCATAAGAATGTTGTCAATTTGTACCATACTTTTATTAGAAATAACTATCCTATAAATACTTCAATGGGAATGTATCTTTAAAGGTGTTGATAATCATTGAAAGAAAATAATCAAGATATTGATTTTAGATGAAATTTCAATAAATTGGTATTAAACATGCATTATGTAAGAGCTAAATATGCCTATTGCAGGTTTTAATATTGGCTTCAAGTGTTATATAAACTATCATTTAAACATTTATTAACATGCCAGGCCCATATTTAACTCTCTAGACCAGTGATTCTCAACCAGTGTGCCGCCAGATCTTCCTAAGTATGCCGCAAAATTTTGAACGGCACACCAAGAAAATGCGAAAAGCCACTTGATCCCAATTGAGTATTCACTGGTGTCTACTGGTACGTTCATAGCTGTGTTTTTCTTTACATGTATTTAGTTTGAGTCATTCTTCTATGTGTCTATGACTAGTCTGTGTCTACGGTTGTATGCCATCTATGACTTGCCATGTTTTTATTTTGCAAAATTCCGATATTTTTCATATACATTTAACCAGGTGTGCCGCTATTTTTTCACGTGTTCCAGGGTGTGCTGTTGGCAAAACAAGGTTAAGAACCACTGCTCTAGACCATTGGATGGATGGATGGATAAGATTTAAAGGAACTAGAACACCTGTGAGATTTAAAAAGAATTAACGATAAAATGGATAATCGAGACTTCGTATCATTGGTCCAGTTCTGTTGCTACTATAATAAACAATCTATGCTACATGAACATCTTCATATTTTTATAACTTCGCCCAGAATAAAGTAATATGAAAGAAATAATCAATATACATGTACAGTTCTCAAAAAGAATCGCCAGTACCGCAAAATATAATCGCCAAAATCAAATTTTAATCGCCACTTACATATTTTTATCGTAAATTGCGACCGACAGTGTGAGCCCTGTACATGTGTATTTATTTTCAGAGATCTATTATTGAACTATTATAGCAAGAACAACCAGCTCTTCATCTTAATCTTACATAATGTAGCTTTAATAAACTTGATATCAATCTCTAGGTACGTGCAGTTGGTATTCTTCAACTCCATTGAGGTTGTGGGGGGGGGGGTAGATGGCCGAATGGTGGATGCTTGCACGCTATATCATAGGGTCTGTCATTCAGCCAAAATGACCTAGTTTGTGTTGAGTGGACGTTAAACACCATTTCTCTCTCTCTCCAACCGAGTTTGACCTACATGTACCATTTTAAGCTGGTGAAACAAAATTGTTTGAATGGAATTACGTTAAATGAACTGGAAAAGAGAGAAACCTTGTTGAAACATTTCTGAGTTAAAAACATTATTGTATTCCATCCAATTGTGTCTTGTGAATTACTAGTGAAAAGAAGCTATTTTTCTTACAATCTACTTACAATAGCAACTAGGGATAATTCTGAAACATGTGTACGTGCATTTATCAAGGCACAAGTTTTTTAAGTTAAATATAACAATATTTAAATCTTGGAAACAGTTTGTTGGTACATCTTTAAATCAAACTTAACACCATCCACATTGTCATGTATTATACATAATAACAGTTACACTTAAACCTTACCTAATCCTCATGTCAATAAACAACAGCTGCAAATAAAACTAAAGAATTACTCTAAACAATGTCTATAATACATTTTCACTAATTACTAGTACAACCAAGTAACTCCTGAGGTTAAAATAACAAAACTACACAAATAAGACCATAGAATTTATTCTATGTATCCTTTCACTAATTAACTACAGAGGTTAAAACTACACAAATAAAACCGTTGAATTATTCTATATCCTAATCCTTATAAGACATATAGAAGTAGATTTCACAAATTAAAAACACTTATATGGATATACTACTTCAGAATTTACATTCTACATTTCAATACACATACAGATATCGTTATCTTTTATAATTATTAGTTTGATCTGCTAATTGTTATCAATAAATTACAGTCTTTCATCTTGTTATCCATATTATTACTTCTCTCATCTTGTTAATTCTTAATTAATGATTAATCTGTTATATGGTTTCCAATATTGTTATCTATATATTGCACCACATTTTTGTTAAATATCACTATTTGTTTGATAACGATATCTGTATGTGTATCGAAACGTAGCATGTTAATAAATTCACAAGTAGTATATCCATATAAGTGTTTTTAATTTATTCTAATTCTATAACATTTTACTAATTAATTACAGAGGTTAAAACTCTTTAGCACTTGGTACATGTTGATCAGCCCCTTGAAGAAAATTAGAGAAAAGGGACATATTATGTACCGGTAGATCCCTGGGCTGTCTGAAACTGATGTTCCTTAAACATACATTATGCAAGAGCTAAATCTGCCTATTGCAGGTCTCTATTTAGGCCTGAAATGTTTTCTAAATTATTAGACATTAATTAACTTACCAAGACAATAATCAACTCTTGATGGCATCGAATTTGTCTGATATTAAATAGATTAGAAAGGTTCAGCCATATTTTGACTTAATTTAAAAATGGAGGAGCGAGACTTCGCTTCGAACAACCAGTACGGTGGTAGAAATTGTTACACACGTTTTGTCAAACCTTCAAAGGCTAATATCTTCGCTCGCAATAGAGTAATTTGAATGAAATTTTCAAATTATTAATTTTACCTCATCTATTTTCGACCTATAATAGCAAGAATGGTTAGCTCTTTATCTAAATCTTACATAATGTATCTTTAAACCTCCTCAAACCATCTAAGATACACTGTATGTGAATAGCTTTCCGTATTAAAAGACCACCTACTAGTTCGTGGGGCATGGGGCGGGGCGGTCTAAGGAGCCCTATTTAGGTTAAAATACAAAAGTACACAAAACCTTTTTTTTTATTACAATTTTATCATTTGATCTGTATAATTTGATCTAATTTGTAATCATGTCTAGTTTAAAACTGACCATTCAATTTTGATAATGAGTGTCCAATTTACAAGCGCTAAGAACTGTTGGCCGCTTATGATGAGAGCCAATAGTTCCTCAACACATAACATATTGTGGAATAATTGAAATTATATATATGTAGATCTCATGGTGATAAAACATGAATTAAGCCAAGAAATCACTACAACAAAGCAAATGGTTACTACTGTGAACTTAATGCTGATACTGTTTCAAAGGGAAATAACTACATTTTACTCATTATTATTGTTCTGCCTGGTCATACGCGACAAAGATATGTCAAGCGGTGACGATTCTATCTTCCAAACGAAGTTGATTGATTTTCGAAATCTTAGTTTTGGTATGGAATGCTATTATTATATTGTCAAGTCAATGAAATAAATTCTACATGTATACACAATGATAGCCTATAGCATAAACTCACATATAATTCATTACAAATTATGAATGTTTTCAAAACATATTGTAAGTAAAAATAATTTGTTGATACTATCGATTATTGAAAGCGATGGTCGGTAATTATCTATACTTGAAACCTGTATTGATTGCCAGCCCTACTGTGCACTAAACCCTAGTAACTACACCTGAGATCTTAGGATTTTCCGGCATGGTTTACCTTTGTCAATGGTGCAGGACAGAGGGCACTGCAAGACAGTGTCTAGTCATTTTGATGGTATGAAAAACTAAGGTCCTGTGTACACACTGGCGAAGTTCTTAAATTTATTTGTGCGTTGCCGTATATTTGGACTATATGGCGGCTGCCTAGCCAACTAATAGGAGGGGACGTATCTTTAAGAGTGTGTTGTGTCGCTAGCAAGGTAAGCAGTCTTATTTTCTCACTAAAATGTTCCATTACATTGTACAGGCATTTGAAAAAGTTTTGACAATGGGTCAATTGGCCCCTTACTGAATGTACAGGACGAGTGTAACGAGACTTAGTTTAGAGCTGAACTACATGTAATCATGTATGTATAATATGGGCATGCACTGTCATTGCAAATCAAAAGCCCCAAAAGATTTTTGACAAGTCACTTAGTACATGTAAGTCAGTGTTACAGAGCGAGCTCCTTGGGCTCAGCAGATTTCAGCCATTCATTCAGCACTCTGCCCTGGCAGAGGAGAGGAGAGCAGCTAGACTAGACACAGTCACGGAGCTGTCATTTTGAGAAAACAAGTTGAAGTTGAACCACATAAATATTCTCAAGCAAATTCTGCGTTTTCTTTTATTTTACAAACTTACCCAGGATTCATTTTCTTTGTTTATTCAATCATAACACTGTCATTACAAAAAGCAAACAAGTTATTCATCAATTATGCGTTATGCTGTTTCGGCTTGATTACTTTTAGTCTACTTTTCACAACCGGAAGTTATCGCTTATTTTTTCTCGCAATATCTCGTCAAATCTCGTGCCACCCCGGAAGCTTTGTCTGACTTGAGAAGTGGTTTTGATGAAGAGATTTCTACTCGGATAAAAGTCAATTTAGTTGTTTTCTTTAGCGATTAATCCTATCGAGTTTTACTCACGGAGTTTGGTAAAAACTTTAGGAGCATGGCGGCGGTTACTGTTTCACCAGGACCGTCGGGATCAGCAGGTAATTGCCACTAGGCCTAATTGGTGGTTGAAGCGAGTGAATGGAAGATGTGAAATTGACATCACGGCGATGTTGACAGTTTGTCACGATTTGACCTACTTTTACCCACCTTGGCGACTAATTATAGAATTAAACAAGTATAGTGCTAATTAACAAGGCCTTTGAAGTTGATAACTTATCTAGACTTTTGATTTGATCAGTGATGTTAAATATAGACCTACTAACTTTTAGAATTTTATAATTGAATCTTGTGCTGCCTGTCCAGTGTGTAGTGTAGGTTAAAAGTAAAATCTAAAATGATAATAATATATATATGGTCATGAACAATGAAGTGTACTGTAATTCACACAACAGTGTCTGAAACACAGTAGAATGTTGGTTCCATTCAAAACAACCATACATAAAATATATTTGTTAAAATGACCCTAGTCGCGGCTAGTCAAATAAAAATTTTAATTTTTAGTGTAGTAATGAAGTATTAAGTTAGTTAATAATATAGTGTATAATGTAGTAAAAATTGCAGTCAAATTATTCAAGATGACCAAGAGATTTATTTTTAAAACAAGGAAAATGTTGGGTTTTTTTTAAGTGGCATTGAACATTTTAATTGGAGATGTTCACCAGTGGGTTAAAAATGAAGAAAGTCACCAAAGGCATCATTTGATCATTACAAATCATATAAATTTTTGTGGGTTTCAAAGAGTCTAATGAACACTTGTCACCCCCCCCCCCCCCTCCCTCACCCCCCAAAAAACCCTTATTATTGTCTTACTTGGATTTTTTATATTTCTGTTTGGATTTATATTTCAGTGAGTCTTAAAGATATTTTAATTGTAATGTTATTCAAAGTTGATTAGATTCATTTTCTTGATGACAATTTCCTCTTAAAGTTATTAAATGTGAGACTTAAGTCATAAGTTTCCTTGTCTAATATTTTCCCAAAAAATTCTGAGAAAAAATTTTTTTTTTTTTTTTTTTGTGGTTGTTTGTTTTGTCGTACTTGTATAGTTATACATTGTAACTTACTAAGCCATCATAACCAATCTCATCAAAATCCACTCAAAAGTTAATTTGACATAAGACGATTTTGGTCAGCGTTTAATGTGTATAGCAAGCTTATTGTAGTTAATTCGTAACCAGGATCTTAAGATTTGACATTTACTGTCCTACTTACTGTACATGTACATTTGTACCAAGGGGTTAGATGGCCGAATGGTTGGCGCATGCGCATTGTACATTGTTTCAGAAGTTCTGTCATTGAGTCAACTGACTTGTACATGACAAGGAGTAGGGTTGTCTGTCCAACCTTGTGGGATTTCTCCAGGACCTCCGATTCCTCCCACTGCTAAAGACCCTTACGCGCAAGCGAAATATTGAAATAAAATTGAACCATCCCTCTACATGAGTAACATACACTGTAACTAAAACAATCACATTCAATCATATCCACATTAAAGCCCCAACATTTCAGAATAAAAGAATAATATAGAGTGTTAGACCATGTATAATTTAAAATATTATGTACAGGGTTTTTTTTTTATGTGGATGTGCTTAATTACATAAATTAAACAACAGGCCTTGTTTCAAAATAGTACATATTTAATATTATTTACTTTTGAGATATGACGTAAACAAATGAACTTATTCTGCCTTTTTACAAATTGCACTCGGGTACACAAAGAAAAAAATTCATATGGTTAGATAGTGTCTTTTTTAGAAAGTATATTGTTATGTAAATGTTCAATTGCTGCATGTTTGTATTATATTCCAGGGACTCCAGACAGTGGGAAAGGGTCTGGAAGAAAGAGAAAAACAGGAAATGGTAGAGAGTAAGTAGTGTTGACTGATTTCACTAATATACATGTACCAGGCCTGGAAATAATGGTTTGTTCCTGACAAAATGTCAGACACTTCTGAAATAGTACCTGTCATTTTCAACTTAGTGCCAGATATGTATTTATAATATTAATAAGAAAGACAAATCAGTGCCAGACAAAATGACAGGAACCAGGGGTTTAGCGTCTGACAAAGCCTGAATCAGTGCCTGACATTTTCTGTGACAGGTGCCTTATTTCCAGGCTTGTGATTTACTACTAAGTGTACCTCAGTAAGAGAGAGATTTTGCCCAGGCAGTGGCTTTTGGGTGTCCTCTTGATCAAATTTGACTTGCACAGTGTCATTGTGGGCTACTACATCAAATTCCTACTGTGCTTGATAATGATTCATGTATAAGCGAACACTTGTCAAAACGTCGTGCTATAGAGATGTGCAACATCTTAAACTAAATGGTAGATTATTCCATAAAACAGGGGCTTGAAAACTAAAAGAGCGCTGACTCTAAGAGACTAGTTGAACAGTTTTTGGCTTTATATGTAGTTTATCTGATGTACGTACTTTTCAACCAGGTGTATAAGTTCTAAAAGATCAGGGGGGGGGGGGGGATAGCCGAATGGTTAGAAAAAGCACGCTGTATCATAATGCCTGTCATTGAGTCAACTGGTGTGGTTTCAAATCCCTGGTTGTACGTGACAAGGAGTAGGGTTGCCTGTCCAACCTCCTGGGTTTACTCCGGGTCCTCCGGTTTCCTCCCACTGCTAATGACCCCTTTGTGCAAGCAAATTCTTGTAATAAAATTAAACCATATGTTAGTCCCGAAATGACCTAGCCTGTGTCATGTGGACATTAAACCCCATCTCTCTCTCTCTCTCTCTCTCTCTCTCTCTCTGTAACCTGTAACCTGGGTATCATTTAATCTTGTGTATTGTTTTTTTTAGGTCTGATGATGAAGATAGTCAAGGTGCATCCTATACAAACAGTGCTGACCAGGCAGACAAAGATCGTTATGCTAGGTGAGAAAACTGTTGTACTATTATAATTATAAATAGACATTTGAATTATATTTAGGTTAGGTGGAGGCGTGATATAATGCATGTGCCATAAATCCCAAGGTCTGTTAGTGTCGGCGAGGGTTGGGTGGCCGAATGGTTAGCACATGCGCTCTGTATCATATGGTCTGTCATTGAGTCAACTGGCGTGGTTTCGATTCCCCAGTTGTACGTGACAAGGAGTAGGGTCGCCTGTCCAACCTCGTGGGTTTTCTCCGGATCCTCCGGTTTCCTCCATCTGCTAAAGAAAAACCCCTACGGGCAAGCGAATTATTGAAATAAAATTGAACCATATGTTAGTCCCGAAATGACCTAGTTTGTGTCGAGTGGACGTTAAACCTCATTTCTCTCTCTCTCTGTAAGTGTTGTGGGTTTCGGTCCAACACTTATTGTACATGACACAATCTTTTTGGGTTTTCTCTGGGTACTCTGATTTATTACTTGTTTTATCCGGCGTGGTTCCCCCTTGTCAGTGATGCAGGATGGAGGGCCGGACAAGGACAACTGTCTAGTCCTTCGGATGATAGAAAAACCGAGGTCCCGTGTATACATTGGAATGCACGTAAAAGATCCCTAGGCCATTGGACCTAAGCTTATTTTTTCCAGGAGCCACAGTGGCTCAGTGGGTCAGACGTTGGTTTGCTAAACTGGAGATCCCGTGTTCGATCCATGCGGTGGCTGAGAAAGTACATCCAGATTTTCTGGCTTGGTTCCTCCTTGTCAGTTGTGCAGGACAGAGGGCCTGGCAAGGGACAACGTATAGTCGTTCCAACGATCGGAAGTAGAACCAAGTTTCTGTGCACACATTCGCATGCACGTAATAGATCCCTTGGCAGCTGAAATTCAGTATAAAAGTAGGCTGTAGCACCACAGTCAGGGCAAAATCTCCCTCATAGCACACTGTATGGCGCATGGCCGTCTTCATTAGCCCAGTCGAAACATAACAGTGGGACTTTAAACTACATTTCATTTCTTATTTCCTCCCGTCTGGATGAGTGTGTCTTCATTGTTTTGATACACGGTTGATGTGTTTTAACAAATCTCATGACATGAGATTAAATGGGTAGCAATTTGATTAAAATACAGATGTATATTTCGTTTCGTTTTTTTATACTTTCGATGGCCTACACTACATGAAGATCTGACAAGTTGTAGCCATAGGTCACGTCAGGAGTCAAAAGACCGACTTATGACCCTATAATGTCAGACATTTGATTAACCAATCAGCATTGATGTTACTAGTGGATTACCCACAGTTCCGTGCAAAACACGCCTAAAGCTCGCCGTGACAGACCGTTTCATTGGCTTATCCCTGACACCATTCAGAACACGAGTTAAATAACAACTCTTCCAGATCCAAGTGTAGTAAAGACAAGTAAAATGAAATTTTGAGCTATAAAAACGAAACGAAATAGGATCTGTGTTTTAACCAGATTGAATGGGTAGGACTGTCAACAGGGTCTAATCTTTTTTCAGTCATGAGCAGGTTTTATGTTTTTTTGTTTGTAAAATTAAGATTTTATTTGGTACGTGTATTCATTTGCTTTACTTATTATTTTGACTTGGATGCTGCTTTTATTAAAATTACATTGTACCTGGCATAGTATTATATCACCCACTCAATGAAACCATGTGTTATGTCTACATGTACTTGATATTGAAGGATATCTGAGCAATTTTTGTCCCTCCATCTTTCAGATAAGGGAGGTTGGATGGCCACTGTATCATAAGGTCTGTCATTGAGTCAACTGGCGTGGTTTCGATTCCCCGGTTGTACGTGACAGGGAGTAGGGTCGGTCGTCTGTCTCTAATTGAGGTAGAATGTTCAAAACTATATTAGGTGAACTTCTTGATTTCGATAATGACCAGTTTCTTTTGAGGCTAAAAAGAGATAAGCAATTTGATTTAGTTGAGTGAGAGTGATGAAACTTGGTGTATAGTTTCATGTGCAAGTAATTTATGAATGTCATGTATTTTGGGATTGAGGCAGGGGGAGGGGGGGGGGGGGGACATCAGCCTCACAGTTTGTTTGTCATCAATCTGATTAAGATACAGATCTATATTTCATTTCTTTTTTATTATACTTTCGATGGCCTACAACGAAATTTTGAACTATAAAAAAAACAAAACGAAATAGGATCTGTGTTTTAATCAGATTGGTTTGATGTTTGTGATAATCAAATACATCAACACTTGTGGATAAAGTAAAACTCAACCGCAGAGTTTTTTTATTGTATATTTTACCATATCGACATGTGTTGAAGTATTTGATTTAAGTAAATACTCAAGTTTTTATATTATTATTATTATCATGCATTTTATTATTTTGGACTTTAAAAGGAGATGGCTCATTTGTTACCATATTCTCATGACAAATACATTAGATAAGCACTATCCTTAATTAAAGAAAGTGTTAGCAGTGCATTAAGATCGTTCGTATCGTCCCCCAAGCTTAAAATTGACAACGTTTTTAGCAAATCGGTCAGCTGGAATTAAATTGTTAATTGTGTTTCTAAACTTTCCAATTGGCAATAAAGGGAGGTAATTATGTAGAGTGCGCCACATGATCTACATGTAGCAATTGCTACTTCTGGTTTTGTGGAGTTTTAAAAGAAAATTTGAGTCATTATTTATACATGTATCGTTTGTTTGAATATAGAAATGAGTGGACCATCTCCTTTAATATTAACTTTAATAAATAACTCTAATCATGATGTTAAAAATATTATCTAATATTTTAAAGCAATAATTTCTCTAAATTCTTGTTTCGCCTTGTGTGTGGTCAAGCTAAGAGATTTACTAAGAAATGATCTAGGATTTGATGGAATATGGAATAATTCAATTTTCAGCCTCTTCTGAAACTTATGAATATTTTTTTTGTTTTTTTAAATAATCTTATTTTTTTGTTTTTTTTAAATAATCTTAATACTGGTTCTTCGTAGAACTTAAAAGGCCCACGCTGCTTTTTAACAGTGATAATTCCTTTCACAGATTAGTCACAATTTTTCAAGAGAAGATATTGAAATTAAATGTTCTTGTATTTACAGGGTTAACTTCGCGATTGTTTTAACATAATATCTCAAACAAAAAATTTAGATTTTCACTTCCATATTTATAAAGGGGGACAACAATTCAAGAGAAATATTATATGTTGAACATGCATCAATATACTTTCCATTAAGAAAGAGAGGTAATTTTTTAAGTGGATACACTTTTGGTAATGGAGATTATTTAGCAAAATAATTTCTAGAAAAGAAATTGGGGGAAAGAATCATGCAAGAAAAAAATTGGTTGAATCTCAAAAGTTCAGTATAAAAAAATTTAATTTACAAATAACAAAATAGAGAAATAGTTGTGGAAATGTTCGCTTCCGCAGTGGCATATCTTATCCATCATAATAAAAATAATCTTGTTAGTTCTAAAATTAATTAAATAATCCTTTTAATCCTAGATCATTTTTTGTGTAATACACTCAAAGCATGGCCTTTTTACTGCCATTAATTACATATTCTTGTTTTTATATGAATTTCTTCAAAAGTGGAAAATCCAAAGCCATGTTGTAAGTATAGCCTAGTTAATGTAAATGTTTCAGAATATCATTATGAAAAAATGTCGGTATTCTATGGTCTGTGCAACAAAATATTTGATAATCTAAATCTGAAATTATCAAAATTGATATCCAATTTAATTTTCCACGACGGAAACCTTTCTGAATGTTATAGAAAATTGTGCTTGAATGATTAAATGCTATTATTTCTGCCAGTAATAAGAATTTGTAGAATGCCGTTTAAATACATCTGAAAATATTAAAATTAATATTCAATTTTCATTCGAAACTTCCTGAATTTTTATATAAAATAGTCGTTTGAATAAATACACAATTAGTAACTTAAATATTGATATTTCTGCCAGTAATAGAAAAGGAGGATTAATATACAGTTCATAGGAACAGTTTTATAAGAAATATACAATAATATTTTTCTAAATACGAATTAGATGTAGCATCAGTTTGTGACAAAGTGTCCATCTTGGACAACCATAGTTTAGACACCTCCTGCTGATGGCATCTATGCCTTACTGTCTCTGTTATATAGTTAACCAATGAAATTGTTGGTTTTATCTCAAATATGAAAATAAATTTCTGAAACAATTGATTTAACCATTGATAGAAAACTAGGCTGTGATTGGTCAAAAATAATTTGCCTCTAATCAGATGAGCAAAGAATTTATCCGCAAATTGATAAGCCATATGGCAGGATAGCATTGCATGTTTTAGCAAAGGTGTTGTAGTATTTGGTGACATTACCATATTGGGTTTCATCTTTGTATTTCAAACTGATAGGGTAAAAGTTCAGTTATCTCGTTTAAAAATTGTGTGACTGATTAATAACAAACTAGTCTCCAGTTTTCTTTTTGGATTTACACACTTATAAAACTAAAAAAAAGTTGCTTGAAATTAAGAAGGAAAGAATTTCTTGTTGCACAAATCATTCTTAAGGTGAAACAGAATTTAGTAGAAATATAAAATGCTTTTTCTGTATGTTTTAATAATAATTTGTAATTTTCAGCTTTTTTAAAAATAATTTATTAATAACACATTTCACATGTCTCACGTTATGCTCACGGGGCATGGTAGTGTGATCCTTTGCAGATCATCTGCCAATCATTTAAACATTATGCTCACGGCGCATGGTAGTGTGATCATTTGCAGATCATCTGCCAATCATTTAAACATTATGCTCACGGCGCATGGTAGTGTGATCCTTTGCAGATCGTTTGCCAATCATTTAAACGTTATGCTCATGGCGCATGGTAGTGTGATCCTTTGCAGATCTTCTGCCAATCATTCAAACTCTTATGGTACATGTACATGTGGTTATTTGGTTATATGGTCTTGACATAAGAAAAATAATCTTAATAAATTTTTCTGTATCGCCAAAACTCCACAAAAATTGTGCTTGTAGCGCTTGACAGCGATGCTGATGTAAAACGCAGCGGGTGGGGTGGGGGTATAAATGTCTAAACTCACAGGCCCAATGGTCTTAAGTGTGCTATGAGGGAAATTTTGCCCGGGCAGTGGCACTATCGCCTACTCTTTTATCGAATTCCAATTGTCAAGGAATCTTTTACCTGCATTCTAATGTATACATGGGACCTCAGTTTTTCGTATCATCCGAAGGACTAGACAGCTGTCCTTGTCAGGCCCTCCGTTCTGCACCACTGAAAAATCAGGATGAACTTTCTCGGCCAGCGAGCCAGCGTCTTAACCACCCAGCCACCGTGGCTCCCAAAGGTCGCGGGTTTAATCCCAATGATGGCTGAGAAAGTTCATCATGATTTTCCAGCCTGGTTCCCCTTGTCAGTGGTGCAGGACGGCTGGCCTGACAAGGACAGTTGTCTAGTTGTTCATTTGTGACGAACAACCAAGGTCCCATGTACACATTGGCGTGAATGTAAAAGATCCCTTGGCAGTTGGAATTTGATATAAAAGTTAAGCTGTAGCGCTGCTGTCCGGGCAAAATGTCCCTCATAGCACAACTGTATGGGGTATGGCTGTCGTCATTAGGCGAGTCCGAGCAGAATAGTAGGATGTTAAACCCCATTTCATTTTATTTTCATTTCTATTCTCGGCAGGGGTGGTGGGTGGTCGAGTGGTCTGACATGGACGCTTTCGATCAAGTGGAAAATATTGAAATAAAATTGTACTATGTTAGCCCCTAAAAACCTGGTTTGTGTTCAGTGAATGTTACCGGTAACTCTCTTAAACCCTGAGACTGCCACTGGTCCCATCCTCTTGGCCAACAGCGGGTCTCAAGGCAGCCACATGAATGCACTCAAGTCACGACAAAACTTGTACGGCCGGAGATGCAGTAAAGCCAGTTATTACTGGCCTGTTCCAGGCATCTTTCTCAAAATCTGAGTCACGAACTCTCCTTGCAGGTCTCCTGTTGGTAACTCAGAAGCAAACCTGCAGCTGCAAAGCTTTTATAGGCTGCAGCCTAGAAAGGCAAAGACCATTAGACCATTTGGAGAAGCTTGGTTTTTCGTCTCATTCAAACAAATAGAGGCTGTTCGTTGCTAGGCCCTCTCTCTCTCTCTCCATCCTACACCACTGACAAGGGGAATCCACACCGATAAATCCTGAGGAACTGTCTAAAAAACATGATTAGTCTCATTATTGTGTTGATGGGACATCAAAGCCCATTCTATATAATAAGTATTATGATTTTATAAATCAGAGAATCAATGGCCGTCCTCGCTAGAGATAAAGGGGCACAATTTATAGGTGATACAGTACTGTTGGCGGTCCCACTTGACCTCGTTGTTTTATAACTGGTGGGGGGTTTGGATGGCCGAATGGTTAGCACGTGCGCGCTGTATCATAAAGCCTGTCATTGAGTCAACTGGCGTTGTTTCGAATCCCTGGTTGTAAGTGACAAGGAGTAGGGTTGCCTGTATAACCTTGTGGGTTTTCTCCTGGTCCTCTGGTTTCCTCCCACTGCTAAAGACCCACACACACAAGCGAATTATTGAAATAAAATTAAACCATATGTTAGTCCCGAAATGACCTAGTTTGTGTGGATGTTAAACCCCAATATTCTCTCTCTCCATTCTATATAATAAGTATTATCTTGTTAATTTTATAAATCATAGAATCAATGAGCGTCCTCGCTAGAGATAAAGTAGCACAATTTATAGGTGACACCATAGAGGAGGCAGTCCCACTTGACCTCATTGTTTACTTTACAGCAATGTTTTCCTGTACATTCATAACGAACTGACAGTAGGGACAGGGTATCATTCAGATTTGATGAAAAAAGGAAAGAAACTGAGCTTACCATCTAGAATCTAATACCGGTATCCAATAGATTGCCATCTAGAAAGTATTAAATGCCATCAAGATTCAACAAAAAACCGCCTAGTTTCTGCTACCATGTAGTTTAAGAAACACTGTTTAGTTTTGACATTGGTTGTCTAGTTTATGACAATTTAGTTTAGTTTTGATATTGGTCGTCTGGTTTATGACCATTTAGTTTCATAAACTAGACGACCGATGTCAAAACTAAACAGTGTTTCTTAAACTACACGTAGCACAAACTGGACGTTTTTTGATGAATCTTGACGACGGCATTTAACACTTTCTGGATGGCAATGTATTAACTGGATACGAGTATTAGATTCTACATGTAGATGGTAAGCTCAGTTTCTTTCCTTTTTTCGTCAAATCTGAATGATACCCGGTCCCTAGTGTGATGTGTTGATAAACATTAGTTTTTGTCGTTAATATGGAATTTAATCTTGATACTTCGAAATACGGTTCTCTTACCATCGATCAGGTCACATGGAACCGAGTTTTTACTAGCGACGCCTGGTGGGAATTTCTTCAGCGAGGACAGCCATTAAACCTCAATACACAAATCCTACTGAACTAATCTTCTTTTCAAAACCAGAGAGCAATGTTTATTACAGGGGCCCCTACGAGCAGACCAAAGATAATTCTGCCTTCGACAATTTTTGCAATTTACAGTGTAAAGCACATATTTCAATGTTGTGTTTTGAAAATTGAATTAATCATTACAACTAAGGTCATTTTCTTTCTTTTTTAAAACAGAGAGAGCCATTGTGAAATCGAGAGAAGACGAAGAAACAAGATGACAGTGTACATTAATGAACTGTGTGACATGGTCCCAACATGTAGTACGTTGGCACGGAAACCAGATAAACTAACGATTCTGCGCATGGCAGTGTCTCACATGAAGACACTTCGAGGTACACAAGGTTTGATCTTTCTTTCTCTGTTTTGTTTTAAACAGACGTTTAGAAGCTCAAATGGCAATCTGAGTAAAGCACAGATCCTATTTCGTTTTGTTTTTTTATAATTCAAAATTTTGTTGTACTTGTCTTTACTACACTAGTATCTGGAAGAATTGTTATATAACCCGCGTTCTGGATAATATGAGGGATTAGCCAATAAAACAGATTTTAATGTGAAGTGCACAGAACTGTGGGTCATCCACTAGAAACATCAGCGCTGATTTGTTTATCAAATGTCTGACATCATAGGGTCAAAAGCCGCTTGTATGACCCCTGACATGACCTTCCGCTAGAACCAGTCAGATCTTCTTGAAGTAGAGGCTTTCAAAAGTAAAAACAAAAGAAATGAAACATAAATCTGTATTTTAATCAGATTGCTCAAATAGAAAGAAAAAAGTCAGTGTATACTTAAACATACATTATGCAAGAGCTAAATCTGCCTATTGCAGGTCTTTCTTTAGGCCTGAAATGTTTTCTAAATTATTAATTAGACATTAATTAACTGATCCAGGCCATAATCAACTCTCGATGTCATCGGATTTCTCTGATATTAAATAGATTAGAACGGTTGTCATATTTTGATTTAATTTAAAAATGGAGGAGCGAGACTTAGCTTCGAACAACCAGTACGGTGGTTGAAATTATTGCACAAATTATTGCACACGTCTTGTCAAAACTTCAAAGGCTAATATTTTCGCCCGCAATAGAGTAATTTGAATGGAATTTTAAATTAATCATTTTACATAATCTATTTTCGAACTAGTATAGCAAGAATGGCTAGCTCTTTATCTAAATCTTACATAAAGTATCTTTACAAAACTGTCTCCCTCCTGAAGACGATGTTGTAAAACATGATAATATCCAAAATCATTTCAGATCAGTCAAAATAAAGTAGAGTTATTGTTGTTAGAAAAAGTGTAAAGATGCTTTATATAAAAGCTAAATATGACTTTTGATTTGTCTTTTTTCTGGCTTCAAATGTTATATAAATTATTATTTTAACATTTATTAACATGACAAGCCCATAATCAACTCTCTGGGCCATGTCATGGCTCCGATTTTAAGTAGATTGGAACACCTTGGCCATTTTAATTAAGAGTTTAACGATAAAATTGATGTAGCCTTGATTGTCAAGTACCATTGCTAAGCTAATAAACCACTTAAGCTATATTTTGTCATAATTTCTCACAGAATAAAGTGATTTTACTGAAATTTTCAATATATTCATCTATTTTTGAACTATCATTATAGCAAGAATGGCAAACTCTTTATCTAAAGCCTAGCTCACCACGTGTTGTAGGTGCTACTACGGTCAGTCTACAGGTTAAATTTTAGTAAACCCTTGGGTGAGACTTGTGCGTCACATGCGTATGTGAGCTACCAAAACACCTTTGGCGAGTTATGAGCTAGGCTGCTTTAAGGTGACATCAATTTGAATTTCTATTCTGTGGGAAAACCTATTAAAAATTCTGCCTTCAATTTCCTTAGAAAAAAAATCTAATTTAAGAAACAAACACCACTTAGTTGCCCTTCTCAAAAACTTTCAATTCAAGATATTAAAGTTTTAACATTTTAACAAAACGTCGCTCCCAAATTTTAAGTGGGTTACTTATTGATCAAAACTCCCCAAACTGAAAATTAAATTTGTTTGGCCTAAGTCTTGGTTGTCAAGTATTGTTAACATACATCATGTTAGTCTTTATTATTTTGTCTTTTGTGTCCTGGGGGGGGTAGGTGGCAGAATGGTTTAACACATGTGCTTTAGATCATAAGGTCTGTCATTGAGTCAAGTGGCATGGTTTTGATTCCCAGCTTGTATGTGACAAGGAGTAGGGTCGCCTGTCCAACCTCCTGGGTTTTCCTTAGGATCTCCATTTTCTTCTCCTTCTTTCGTGACTATTATAATGAATTTGTCCATATTTGAGGACATTTTAACTTGGTTTTAGTATTAAGCTGTGGAAATTTATTTTTTCCGAAAATTTTACAGGATGTTCAGCAATTTTAATTAGTTATTCTATAAATCAGGTACTGGTAACACAATGCAAGATGGACAATATCGACCTTCCTTCCTCACAGATCAAGAACTCAAACATCTTATATTGGAGGTAAATATTCCATGGATTGGGTGACCAAATGGGCTTTGAATCGCTGTAAGGTTTTGGGTTGTGGCTTGGCCTCAGTGCAGCTGTAAGGGCGAAATTCCCCTCATGGCATACTGCCTTACATTACTTGAGCTGAACTTTTCACTTATTAAAATAAGCACAGTGGCTAAGTGAGTAAGACGCTGGGTCACTAGCCTGGAGGTTGCTGGTTCGATTCTGGTGTTGGCAGAGAAAGTACATCTGGATTTTCTGGCGTGGTTCCCCCTTGTCAATGCTGCAGGGTGGATGGTCTGACATGGACAGTTGTCTAGTTGTTCGGATGGCACGAAAAAAAACAAGGTCCCGTGTACACATTGATGGCGAATGCAAAGCTGCAAATACTATTTTGTTAATAACACCATCAGATAAGCTCTGAATGAAACAAACATTAAGAAAACATAGTTTTTGGATAATTTTTTTTTTTATTTGATCAATGACACATTTAAATGCATTTTTAGCATAAAAACAGTTATTTCTTTCAACTGCAAATTTTCCGAGATATAGATATTGTCAACCATTTCGGTATCGATTGCCAGCCCTGCATTAAACCCCATTTAATTTATAATTTAATTGCAAGAATTCTCATTAGTAGAAGGCATAGAATCAATAGTGAATGATATCAGTTTCACAGTGTATGTTTAGTGTTTTTGATGATGAAATTTAATTGTAAGAATTCTCATTAGTAAAAGGCACGATATCAGTTTCACAGTGTATATTTAGTGTTTTTAATGATGTATGTTTGTTTTCTTTCAGTCAGCTGATGGATTTTTATTCGTTGTACAATGTGATACTGGACGTATAATTTATGTTTCGGATTCTGTTACACCTGTTCTTAATCAAACTCAGGTAAAATAAACTATAACAAAGTGAAAAAGGGTTGAGGTGTCCAAGTTCAGATTTGTGGTCGATTCCATGATGTAGTAGGGGTTTTTGAATGTGTAATACAGTATAATTCAACATGGCGCCTGCTGGTATTTAGGAATAGAAATTTGGTGTATACGGGTAGCTCGGATCGGGGAGTAACATAGGCTAGGCGACATTGGCCTACCGCTTCCAGAGTTACAGGCACAACCCAAGCAGCACCGGGTTATCCGCTTGTCTCTTATAAAATATCTGCCCCGTTCTCTTATAATGGTTCAGGGAGGGTGGGGTGTGTGGCCGAATGGTTAGCACATCCGCGCTGTATCACAAGGTCTGTCATTGAGTCCACTGGTATGGTTTCGAATCCCCGGTTGTACGTGACGAGGAGTAGGGTCGCCTATCCAACCTCATGGGTTTTCTCTGGGTCCTCCAGTTTCCTCCCACTGCTAAAGACCCCTATGCGCAAGCGAATTATTGAAATAAAAATTGAACCGAAATGACTTAGTTTGTGTCGAGTGTCCTGTAAATCGGGACTTTTAGTGCACAAGTTCATGCATTACCATGACAACTGAAGTCAAATTATGTGCACAAATAAGGCCATGAACACCCCTAAATAGACTAAATATAGTATATTGTTGTCTTGTTTTTCCAGTCTGATTGGTTTGGTAATGTTTTATATGAATTGGTTCATCCTGATGATATAGAGAAAGTTAGAGAACAGCTTTCTACCACAGAATCTCAAAATACTGGACGCATCCTTGATTTAAAAAGTAAGTTTCAAAAACTGAACGTAATCCCTACAATTAGATCAGCTCATTTAAATAAATTAAAATCTTTAATTATCATTTAACGGATATCTAATTCAACACAGGGTACAATTTTATGGATACACAATTACTGAGTTTAATATTAAGGATACTCTCATCTTTATCATAAGGTCTGTCATTGAGTCAACTGGCCTGGTTTCGATTCCCCGGTTGTATGTGACAAGGAGTAAGGTCGCCTGTCCAACCTCGTTTGTTTTCTCCTTGTTATTCAATTTCCTCCCACTGTTAAAGACCCCTACGTGCAAGCGAATTATTAAAATAAAATTGAACCTTGTTAGTCCCAAAATGACCCTCCCTCTGTCTGTCTCTCTCTCTCTCTCTCTCTCTCTCTCTCTCTCTCAATCTTACATAATGTATCTTTAAATGTTAAATTTGAATAAGTAGAAAAATTAGTTATTATCTGAAAGATGTGGCTTTAATACATATAATTATTATAATTTCATTTTTGTCCCCCGCCTTTCGAAGAAAGCAGGGGACTATTAAAATGGGTTCGTCCGTCTGTCTGTCTGTCTGTCTGTCTGTCCGTCTGTCTGTCCGTCTGTCTGTCCGTCTGTCTGTCCGTCACACTTTTTGGGACACAATAACTCTCTTCCTAATTGAGCTAGAATGTTCAAACTTGGTGTATGTGTTTATTAGGTCAATGCCTTGATGGAGTGCGAAGATGAGCATTTTCCGCTTAGGGTAAGCAGAGATAAGCAATTTGATTGGTTGATGCTTTGGGACACGATAACTCTCTTCCTAATTGGTGTATGTGTTGATTAGGCCAATGCCTTGATGGAGTTCGAAGATGAGCATTTTCCGCTTAGGGTAAGCACGATAACTCTCTTCCTAATTGAGCTAGAATGTTCAAACTTGGTGTATGTGTTGATTAGGTCAATGCCTTGATGGAGTTCGAAGATGGAGTGCGAAGATGAGCATTTTCCGCTTAGGGTAAGCAGAGATAAGCAATTTGATTGGTTGATACTTTGGGGCACGATAACTCTCTTCCTAATTGAGCTAGAATGTTCAAACTTGGTGTATGTGTTGATTAGGTCAATGCCTTGATGGAGTTCGAAGATGGAGTGCGAAGATGAGCATTTTCCGCTTAGGGTAAGCAGAGATAAGCAATTTGATTGGTTGATGCTTTGGGACACGATAACTCTCTTCCTAATTGGTGTATGTGTTGATTAGGCCAATGCCTTGATGGAGTTCGAAGATGAGCATTTTCCGCTTAGGGTAAGCAGAGATAAGCAATTTGATTGGTTGATGCTTTGGGACACGATAACTTTGAATTGAGCTAGAATGTTCAAACTTGGTGTATGTGTTTATTAGGTCAATGCCTTGATGGAGTTCGAAGATGAGCATTTTCCGCTTAGGGTAAGCAGAGATAAGCAATTTGATTGGTTGATACTTTGGGGCACGATAACTCTCTTCCTAATTGAGCTAGAATGTTCAAACTTGGTGTATGTGTTGATTAGGTCAATGCCTTGATGGAGTTCGAAGATGAGCATTTTCCGCTTAGGGTAAGCAGAGATAAGCAATTTGATTGGTTGATGCTTTGGGACACGATAACTTTAGTTCTAATTAAGTGAGATTGATGAAACTTGGTGTATAGTTTCATTACAGTAATACCTTGTTATCTAAATTATCCCCCTTTGGTGATACAGTTTTTAGCATATAAACTAGATAATAATTATTCGGTTGACACACAATCAACGGCATAGAATACACGATGGCACAAGCTATAATAATTATTGATATAAAATATTATTTTATCGCAATTTAGCTGATATATAACTGGATAGCCCTCATAAATAAGTAGTGGAAGGAGGGAATCGATTTTCATATTCCGTTTTCCTGCAAATGTTATTTAACTTCTTTATTATATAATATTTGTATTTTTGTCCCCCGCCTTTCGAAGAAAGCAGGGGACTATTAAAATCGGTGTGTCTGTCCGTCCGTCACACTTTTTGGGACACAATAACTCTCTCTAACTGAGCCAGAATGTTCAAACTTGGTGTAGGTGTTTATTAGGTCAATGCCTTGATGGAGTTCAAAGATGAGCATTTTCTGCTTAGTGTTAGCAGAGATAAGCAATTTGATTGGTTGATGCTTTGGGACACGATAACTTTAGTTCTAATTAAGTGAGAGTGATGAAACTTGGTGTATAGCTTCATTACATCAATACCTTGACTAAGTTCGATAATGAGCATTTTCTGCTTAGGGTAAGCAGAGCGATAAGCAATTTGATTGGCCGAGACTTTGGAACACAATAACTCCCCTTCTAATTGAGGTAGAATGTTCAAACTTGGTGTAGGTGTTAATTAGGTCAATGTCTTGATGGAGTTCGAACATGAGCATTTTGTGCTTAGGTTAAGCAGAGATAAGCAATTTGATTGGTCAAGATTTTGGAACACAATAACTCTCATTCTAGTTGAGTTAGAATGTTCACACTTGGCGTAGGTGTCTGATAGGTGAATGCCTTGATGGAGATTGAAGATGAGAATTTTCTGCTTAGGGTAAGCAGGGATAAGCAATTTGATTGGTTGATGCTTTGGGACACGATAACTTTAGTTCGAATTAAGTGAGAGTGAGGACACTTGGTGTATAGCTTTATTACATCAATACCTTGACTTAGTTCGATAATGAATATTCTCTGCTGTCATGTCATGGCTGAGTTCAATGATTTACATTAGTCGATGCTTTGGGACAAGATAACTTTGATTCTATCTGATGGAGAGTGCTGAAACTTAGTGTATAGTTTGATTGCTCGATACTTTTGAAAAAAATAAATGTGCGATTAATAAATATGTGTCATCTATTTATTTTTGGATTTCGGCGGGGGACATCAGCCTCACTGTTGGCTTGTTAAATACATGTATGGTACTACAATAAGGTTTTAGTTTGGAAAAACTGCACAAAAGAACATTGATGGAACAATAAATAAATAAAAAAACAGAATAAAACACAAGTAAATTCACTAGATTATTGGATTTTTTCTCCTCATAGCATTTGTTATTTTGTGTTTATTTTGTAGCTGGTACAGTCAAGAAAGAAGGTCATCAATGTAAGTTATATTTAATTGTGTAATTACTTTAATCCTCCAGCACCTGGGTTACCTGAAATACCTGAAATTTTCAAGTGAAAGCCCAGGGCCGGATTCCTAGAAAATTCTTAGATTTTAAGTAGATGTTCATTTAAGTAAACTTACCTTATTTTGTGTTCCCAGAAAATTCTTAAGAACGTTCTTGTGCTTAGATTTTAAGCAGACGACAAATTTATGACGTAATTCGCATACGAAAGTTGTTTTTATGACGTTAAAGAGCATCGTAGTCTCAGTTTATGGTAAACTTTACCAGTCACAATGTGCTTAGACTTATACTTGACTTGTGCTTACATAAGAATGGTCTTACTAGGGACGGTATTTTTATAAGTTTCTTACGTAAGAAAAAGTGAAGCATAACTTTGTGCTTACTTTAAGAATTTTCTAGGAACTGGGCCCAGGTCTGACAGCAGGTTAAATTGTGTAATTTGATGCACCTTTAAGTGAAATGGCTAGTGTTTGTTAAATGTTAAACCTATGTATAAAAAAAATTACGATAAGGCTAAAAGTTGAAAAAATATCTTGTTAGTCAAAAATTGATAGGCTGACAAAATGTCTTAGGAGAAATCCCTGGACTGAAAGCAAGTTGAATGGCACAATTTGAGTGATTTGGCTGGCGTCGAGTAGACATTTAACTCATATTTTTGGATTTATTTCAGCATCAGTAATGATGACTTCTATAATTAATTGGATTTTGAAATAAGGATAGGCTGTAGCACCGGTGTCCTTGTGTCTAGTATTACTAGTAGTAACAATAAACTCATATTTTTGGATTTATTTCAGCATCAATTAGATTATGTATGGGATCTAGACGAGGTTTTATTTGTCGTATGAAGATGGGAAGCGCTCACGTTGATCCTGTAACAGCCACTCACACAGTACGAATACGACAGCGCCAGACGTTGGGTCCGTCTCCAGATGGAAATCATTATTCTGTTGTCCATGTCACTGGTTACGTTAAAAACTGGCCCCCATCAGGTAATTTTGAACGTTAGATATATAAATTATTAAACACGAGCCAATCAAAGGTTGCAAGATTTCTACTGACAGATAATTATATTATCAACGCATATCAAATTACATGTATTACTCATAAAAGGGGACCTCGTGGGTTTTCTCCGGGTCCTCCGGTTTCCTCCCACTGCTAAAGACCCCTACGCGCTAGAGATGGCTCAATAACCTGGAGGACCTGTGTTCTCTCCCTGCGTTGGCCGAAAAAGTTCATCAGGAGCTGGGGATCACGTGGCTAAGTGGGTAAGACGCTGGCTCGCTAGCCTGGAGGTCGGGTGTTCGATCCCTGCATTGGCCGAGAAAGTTCATCTCGATTTTCCGGCGTGGTTCCCCCTTGTCAGTGATGCAGAATGGAGGGCCTGACAAGGACAGCTGCCTAGTCGTTCGGATGGGACGAAAAACCGAGGTCCCGTGTACACATTGGCGTGCACGTAAAAGATCCCTTGGCAGTTGGAATTCGATATAAGAGTAGGCCGTAGCGCCGCTGCCCGGGCAAAATTTCCCTCATAGCACACTGTATGGCGTATGCCCGTCTTCAATTAGCCCAGGTTAGGTGCAGAAGAGTAGGACGTTAAACCCCATTTCATTTCATTTCATCAGGAGCTTCCAGCACAGTTCCTCCTTGTCACTGGTGCAGGACTGAGGGCCTAGCAAGGGATAATGTAAAGTCATTCGGATGGGACAAAAAACAAATCAAGTGTACACATTGGCATGCACGCAAAAGATCCTGTGAAATCTGGAATTTGAAATAGTGCCACTGTCGGCCGAGCAAAATTTCCATAATAGACACTGTGCCTTATGCTTGTCTTCATTAGCCTAGTTGGAGCAGAACAGTAGGACGTTAAACCCCATTTCATTTCATTTACTCATAAAATGTGTATGATTTATAAGAGGATGCCACATTGCCAACCATAGAAGTTTTCAGTATGTTCAGACTTTATTTCTACTTGACACATCACTGGAACCAGGATCAGGGAGCACATTAAACTGTCATTAAGAGCCCATATATCAATTGATCAAATTTAAAATTGTATTACTCACTTTAGTCAATAATCAAGTGCCACAATATATTCAAGATCTACTCACACGGTACTCGGTATGAATTCATTATTAGTTGTTCTTTGAACACAAAAATTATCTTCTCTGGAGTTGTAGCACTTTTTCTCTGGAGTTATCTACCCTTAGACATCAAAAAAGTTTTTGTTGAGTGGACATTAAACCCCATTTCTTTCTCACTTCTGACAGTTGTGGTTTAAGTCCCTCTCATCAGTCATGAAAAGATACATATTGTTTTGAAAATAACCACTTGTCATTTAATTTGATTGGAATAATTTGTTTGGAATTGTTTGATTGTAATAATTTCTTTTTATATTAGGTGTACAGATGGATCGTAATGAAGGAGATGATCAAGGAGGCAGCCATTGTTGTTTGGTAGCTATTGGTAGATTACAGGTAACCTCAACACCTAACTGTAGCGATCTGATGGGACCTAACTCTGCTACAGAATTCATCTCACGGCACAGTACTGACGGAAAATTTACTTTTGTCGATCAGAGGTTCGTAGATTTCATGGTCTGTTTTATTATAAAACAATCTGGTTAAAACACAGATCCTATTTCATTTCGTTTTTTTATAGTTCAAAGTGTCGTTTAACTTGTCTATACTATACTAGGATCTGAAAGAGTTGTTATATAACCCACATTCTGGATGGTGTGAGGAATTAGCCAATGAAACAGTCTGTTACAGCGATTTTTTTGTCGTGAGGTGCTGGAACTGTTAATAACCCACTAGAAATATAAACGCTGATTGGTTAATCAAATGTCTGATGTCATAGGGTCAAAAGCCACTTGTATGACCTCTGATGCGACCTTCCACTACAAATGGTCAGATCTTCATGTAGTGTAGGCCATCGAAAGTATAAAAAAATTAAAATGAAATATAGATCTGTATTTTAATCAGATTGATTATAAAATAGCCTGATGTCAGAATAAAATTTAAAAGTGTGTCAATTATATAAGTGAACCAACTTTAGACATTTGGTCTAAACAGGGTCTTGTTGTAAATTTATTATCTTAAAAATATTCTTATCAATGTTTTGGTAATTTTTAGCTTCTGATTGTCATTTGCATTCTTTGGAGAATATCATTATGGAAGAGCTAGATCTGCCTATTGCAGGTCTTTATTTGGCCATAAATGTTATCTAAATTATTAAATAGACATTAATTGACTTATCAAGACCATAATCAACTCTCGATGCCATCGTTAGCCTGCGATATTTAGTGGATTAGAATACATTTTGTGATGGATAATATAACGTAAAAATGAATAGTCAAGACTTTGTTTATTATCGTACCAACCGTAGTAATGACGATTGAGTCTAGCCTAAAATTAAATTAAATCAAAGTAATTTGACTGATATTTTCATCATATTCTGTTTTCATTATCTATTTTTTTAACTATTATAATGAGAACTGTCGGCTCTGTATCTAATCTTACCTAATGTCTCTTTAAGTATGTGTTTATCTGTAATATGTTTATTTACAGGGTGACCCCAGTGTTAGGATATCAACCACAAGATTTATTGGGTAAACCAGCGTTTGATTTTTATCATCCAGAAGATCAAGCCCATATGAAGGAAACGTTTGATCAAGGTTTGTTTTTATGTGTTAAATATCTTTTTTCTGAGCTCATAATGTAGCAAAGTATCTGATTTAGGAATTTTCAGCTTGTGTTGGACGGGAGGGTGGATGTCCGAATGGTTAGCATGTGTGCGTTGTATCATAAGGTCTGTCATTGAGTCAACTGGCCTGGTTTCGATTCCCCGGTTGTAAATGGCAAGGAGTAGGGTCGCCTGTCCGATCACATGGGTTTTCTCTGGGTCCTCCGGTTTCCTCCCACTGCTAAAGACCCCTAGACGCAAGCGAATTATAGAAATAAAATTGAACCATGTGTTAGTCCCGAAATGACCTAGTTTGTGTCAAGTGGACGTTAAACCCCATTTCCCTCTCCCTCTCTGTGCCTGGCAAGCTATCTTTTATTTGTTTTATAACTTGGTGGAGCTTAGCTTAGAAATAAAATTTGTTAATGTTAACCTCAAAATATGTTGCACCTTAAACACCTTGTCCTTCCTTCTATCTGCAGGTTCCCTCATTGTGATAATTTATATTTTCAGTGTTAAAGTTGAAAGGTCAAGTGATGTCAATCATGTACCGTTTCCGTGCATCTAATCGTGAATGGGTGTGGTTACGAACCAGTAGTTTCAGTTTTCAGAATCCCTATACAGATGAAGTCGAGTACATAGTTTGTACCAATACTTCAGCCAAGTAAGTCAGTTTACTTTATTATTTCCTTTTGCCTTCTATGGGGGAGCCACAGTGGCTAGGTGAGTAAGACGCTGGCTCGCTAGCCTGGATGTCGCGGGTTCGATCATGGTGTTGGCTGAGAAAGTTCTTGATTTTCCGGCGTTGTTTCCCCTTGTCAGTGGTGCATAATGGAGGGCCTGACAAGGACAGCTGTCCAGTCTTTCCGATGGTACGAAAAACGAGGTCCCGCGTGTACGTAAAAGTTCCCTTGGCAGTTGGAATTCGATATAAGAGTAAGCTGTAACGTTGCTGCCCGGGCAAAAGTTCTCTCATAGCACACTGTATGGCTATGCCCGTCTTCATTAGCCTAGTCGGAGCAGAACAGTAGGCCATCATTTCATTTCATGTTGCCTTCTATGGGTGTGGGGATGTGTAGGCGAGTGGTCTAATTGCTGTGCTTTATATCATAAGGTCTGTAATTGAGTCAACTGACTTGGTTTTGATTCCCAGCTTGTACGTTACAAGGAGTAGGGTTGCCTGTCCAACCTCGTTGGTTTTCTCCCCGTCCTCCTGTTTCCTCCCACTGTAATACGAAGTGATATCTGATGTTCTGGAAAAAAAGTAAGCATGCATACTTTGTGCATAACATCTGTCATGTTATCAAGTTACATCATTTAATTCTTGCCCTAGTTTTGTTTTTCTTTATTTGTAGAAGTTTTTATTTCTTTTTCTTCTGAATTATAGAAGTGTCCAGCAGAGTTCAACTGGTCAAAGTTTGTCTGATCCATCCGCTGAACCCCAACCTACAATCAACACCTATCCTGCCCAGAGGACCTTGGCGCCAGAACATATAGGACTGCCAGGAACACCTCTAAAGTCAGATTACAGAGTCCCAGAAAATCCCCACTACGCTGATGTCTATCATATGGCAGGAAGAACAGTCCAACCTGACGTTTACGGAGCTTACCCACAGACAATAAAATATCCGCCACATTCTGCTTCAAACCCCATGGGATTGTCACAGGGTTCTGGTTCAGGTTCATTGAGTATGAGACGTAGTCCGGCACAGAGTGGTTGGGCTCCTCAAGGTCCCTACGCAAGAAATGAGGTAAATAGTGGTGTAATCTTTTGAATGGTGGTGAGATCGGGTGGCCAAATGGTTCTAATGCTTGCACTTTGGATCATTAGATCATGTCATTGGGTCAAGGGCCATGGTTTTGATCCCAGGTGTGACACAGAATAAGGTCATCTGTCTACCCTTTCTCCATTTTATGGGGTCCACGGTGGCTGAGTGGGATTTTCCGGCGTGGTTTCTCCCTGTCAGTGGTGCAGGACGGAGGGTCTGACACGGACAGCTGTTTAGTCATTCGGATGAGACAGAAGACTGAGGTCCCGTGTACACATTTCCTCCCACTGCTAAAGACGCCTGTCCAACCTTGTGGGTTTTCTCCGGGTCCTCCGGTTTCCTCCCACTGCTAAAGACCCCTACGCGCAAGCGAATTATTGAAATAAAATTGAACCATATGTTAGTCCCAAAATGACCTAGTCTGTGTTGAGTGAACTTTAAACCCCATTTCTCTCTACCACCGAAAGCGTTAAAAACAATGAAAATATATACAAACCTTTAAACAGAATAGAAAAACAGAAGTCTATCGGCAGTCATATTGTTGTTTTTTTGTAATTTGTGCCTATGAACAACCACTTTGTTTGAATTTAGCTATTATTATTATATATATATTTTTTTTTATCAGGGTACAACAGATTATCCATCGTCAGGAAGTGCTACTTATAATCAAATTAGTCCGAATACCAGCTCACCTGGTAAGTATTTCATTTGTAGAATCAAGTGGTGGGTTTACTATCAGAGTAAATTGATTTAAACACCCCTTGGGGGTAATTTTAAAAGCTGACAAACTGGAACGCATGCTTTAGTTGTTTTATAGATATTTTTATACGCCCACATTGAAATGTGGTTGTATATTGTTGTCACCCCCGTCCGTCCGTCCGGCGTCCACAATTGCTTGTGGACGCTCTAGAGGCTAAAGTTAATACCCGATTGACTTTAAATTTATACACAGTGTTTAAGGTCATGAGACGAAGAAGCCTATTGATTTTCAGCGATTTCAGATAATTACTGCCAGAGTTATGGTCCTTGATCACTTTCAAAAATCTTGTGGACGCTCTAGAAGCCAAAGTTAATATCCGATTGACTTTAAATTTTTACACAGTGTTTAATGTCATGAGACGAAAAAGCCTATTGATTTTTAGCGATTTCCAATAATTACTGCCAGAGTTATGGCCCTTGATCCCTTTGAAAAATCTTGTCGACGCTCTAGAGGCTAAAGTTAATATCCGATTGACTTTAAATTTATACACAGTGTTTAATGTCATGATAAGTTCTGCCAGAGTTATGGCCCTTGATCACTTTGAAAAATCTTGTGGACGCTCTAGAGGCTTAAGTTAATATCCGATTGACTTTAAATTTATACACAGTGTTTAATGTCATAAGACGAAGAAGCCTATTGATTTTCGGTGATTTCTGATAAGTACTGCCAGAGTTATGGCCCTTGATCACTTTGAAAAATCTTCTGACACTCTAGAGGCTAAAGTTATCATCCGATTGACTTCAGATTGATACACAGAGTTTAAGGTCTTGAGACGAACAAGTATATTGATTTTCAATGAATTTTTATGACTTGAACAACTAAATCCATGATGTTAAAAGTTTTCTATACTAAACATTAGCATGGGGCAGAACTTTATAAAAACCAAACAAATTCTAATGGTTTTCTGATAATTACTTAATTAGTTGTTACTCTTTATCAGATTTTAATGTATTATAAATGTTTAACTACCGAAAAAAGTAAAAATATGTGACAACTCTTGTTGACTCCCCGGACGATTTAGCTGCTTTGGGCGTATGTTTCGTTGCCTGGCAACCTATCTTAGTATAAATTACGAAGACAGAATCACCCATTTCTGATGTGGTATTGGCAAGAAATATTCACTTTTCATTCCTGTTTGTAAATGTATCTAGTGCAATACAAGATAAATGTGTGACTCTATTCAGTCTTGCTTGATAAAACACACACCCTGATCTGACCTCTTTATTGGTATTCATTATTGTGCATTGACTGTACAGTGCAGTGGACACTTACGGCTAGCCCCCCGGATCCATTCACTTAATCTGATATGTACGTTTGTTTGTGATTTCTGCGTATTGTGTCTTGTCTGTAAATTTGTTTTGTGTAATTGCTTGTGTCTGGTGCAGTCCCCCTGCACTTAATATTAAGAGTTCAAGATTGTCAATTATTATATGTTCCCATTCACGAAAAAACAAGGTCCCATTAACACATTGGTATGCATGCAAAAGAACCCTTGACAGTTGAAATTTGATATAAGAAGAGTAGGTCGTAGTGCCGCTGTCTGGGCAAAAGTGCAGAAATGTAGGACTTTAAACACCATTTGATTTTGATTTTGTGTAATAAATTTAATATGATTTATTTTTAAACAGGTAACCCTAACATGTGGCCACAATGGCAAGGTGCCCAGACTGACGGAAACCCACAGACCAACCCTCAAACTACGGCCACCCAGCCCCAGTCTAATACAGAAGAATTTGGTGATATGTTCCGGATGTTGGACCAACCTGCCAGTGAATTTACCGATTTATCCGGCATGTTCAACACATTTACAGAGTGATGTGCTTGGGTTCCGTTCTGATTTTGGTGCATGCATTTATTGCTATCAAATTTGGTGCATGTGCATTTCATGTCTAATTTATGTATGTATGTTTCTGCCTTTGTACTTATGACGAATGGGAAGTATGACTCGATACGTTTATAAAACGTATCTGAACGAAAGAGAAGATATTTGTAGTTGTTGTCTTTTTCCTTATAAGCGTCGGTATTGGTCAGTTTATACGCTGTCGTATATTGGTTTATCGATAGCGAGTGATTTAGGTCGATCATCGATCGAATCTCAGACGCAACTCTAATGTCAAAATGACTATTTTGTTTTGTTGAACATCATATTTTCATCATGGTGCTGGCCAGGGTAAGAGAAAGGGAAATCAACACTTCTCCCATAGTATTGGATTTATTCCACGTTTTGTCGAAAAAAGATTCCAAAAATTGCGAAAGAATTGGCATATGCTTTTGTATACACCTACATTAAAATGTGGTCATGTATTGTTATCATTCGAGTGTGATGAGCTTATTTTAGTGCTTGGATGAATTTGCAGGTTGCATGCATGTTTTGATTCCTGGCAACCTATCTTTGATAAATGCAATCATATGTAAGATTTATTGTTCATTGATTTGATTTACAATTTTTGACTTTTTTTCTTTTAATACCAAAGTTTTTTTTGTGCCATTCCACTTGAAATGACAAGACCTTTAAGAAATTTTTAGTCTTATGTCAATCTTTTTAAATATATTTTAAATGATTACTATGAAGAGTTACTCCCCTTCCCTATTGAATTATAAATGAATATATTTGTATAATTCAGTTTTTGATAGAAAATAATTTTACCCTTTCTGAAAACCCCAAAGTAAATTGTCATTCATTTACAAACCATTAATGTTTAGAGTAGCGTCATATTGTTATGATCGATTCCGCGATCCACATCATCATCTGATGGACCTCCATTATTAGTCAATCTGATTCAAATACAGATCTATATTTCGTTTCGTTCTTTTATATTTTTGATCGTAGCCTACATTACATGAAGATCTGACAAGTTGAATAGGAAGGTCGTGTCAGGGGTTGTACGACCGGCTTTTGACCCTATGACGTCAGACATTGATTAATCAATCAGCATTGATGTTTCTAGTGGTTTACCAACAGTTCCATGCAGGAAATGCCAAGAAAACGCTGTAACGGGTGTTTTCATTGGCTAATCCCTAACTTCGGCCAAAACGCGGGTTATATGACAAGTCGTCCAAATCCTAATGTAGTAAAGGCAAATAAAACGAAATTTTGAACTATAAAAAACGAAACGAAATAGTATCTGTTTTAATCAGATGGATTATTGGTATAATGTTTATGATTTTGTTAGTTAAAGCATTATTGATGATATTCAAATTAGTACTCATGCTGTACATTTGACTAAATGTATTTAACTCCACTGATCGTCATTTGGATAATATTTAAATTTTTATACTTAATCCATGCTAAAATATATATATTAAAGATACATTATGGGAGATTAGATATAGAGCTGGCAGTTCTCACTATAATAGTTGAAAACTAAATACTGTAAAGGAAATTTGCTGAAAATTTCAGTCAAATTGATCCACTATGAACCAAGATTTTTCGCCTAGCCTCAATCATCATTACTAAAGTCGGTAGGATAAAAAACATAGTTATGATTATCCATTTCATGATTAAATTATGAATGGAAGTTGAACAGCAAATCGGAACCTAATGTATAGCTCTTGCATAATGTATATTTAACATTTATTGCGGCACTGGCTTATGTATGTCGTCTGCTGAGGATGTCCAAGGTTTTGGAGCATTTTCCATTAATCATATCTTTGTAAATACTGAACGGAATTGAACCATTTTTGGACAGATATTCTTTTTATAACCCATATTTCATAATCCTGTAATGGCAAGGGATTCCAAGTCCTTATAATGATGATCGGGGGTATGGATGGTCGAATGGTTAATACATGCGCGTGAAATCACAAGATCTGTCATTGAGTCAACTGCCGTGGGTTTCAATTCACCGCTGAACATGATAAAAGAACAGTATCGCCTGTCCAACCTTGTGACTTTTCTCCGGGTCCTCCCATTTCCTCACACTGCTAAAGACCCCTACACGCAATTGAATTATTGAAATAAAATTTAACCATATGTTAGTCAAGAAAGGACCTAGTTTGTGTCAAGTGGATGTTAAACCCCGTTTCTGTATAATGATGATCAGTGGTTATAGTAAAGAAGTTTTATATAGTATGAGGGCTTTAATGAGTTATAATCTCTCATAATCATTTATTTGTCAGTGAAATGTACATTTTTTAAAAAAAGGAATTCACAAAAATGGAGAAAAAAAAAACGTTTAAGAATTGTTCTAGAAATGTAATTGTAAAATCTTTCATTTATACTTTTTACCGGTATGTTGTTTTAAGAATAAAACATTGGTTATTATGATTGTGTTTTGGGTCATTCCATGTCTAATGGACCAAAAATTCGCAGATAGTTGTCAGGTGACCCCTCAGAAAATTATGAAAAAAAATATGTTATAGTACATACAAACTTATGTAAAAGTGCAAAGTTGTATGACTCTAGCATTGATAGTGACTGGATATGTATGACCTTTTGAATTGGGTCTACCCAATATTCTGTTATTCAGTTTTGGTATGATACAAAACTTTGTATGTACTATAACATATATTTTTTTTTGTAATATTCTGAGGGGGTCACCCAGCAAGCACTGGTCTACTTGACATAGAATGACCCTTTTGTGACAGATACAACCCCACAGATTTCTAGAGTTTCTTTTTGAATCTGTAGTTAAAAATGCATTATGTAAGAGTTACATCTGCCTTTTTTTTTCTGGTTTCAAATGTTATATAAACTATTATTTAGACATTTATTCACATAAGCCCATAATCAATTTTCTAGACCATCCGATGGCAGATCTAAATGGATTAGAACACCTGCGAGATTTAAAAATTTTACGATAAAATGGATAATCAATACTTAGTCTCGTTTGTTCAGTAGCGTTGCTATGATAAACAATCAAAGCTACTTCTTCCATATATTTCCATATATTGATTTTGCATTATCTATTTTCGAACTATTATAGCAAAAATAGCCAGCTCTTTATCTAAATCTTACATCTTTAAAGGGCATTACGGGAGATTAGATTAAGAGTTGACAACTCTCGCTATAATAATTAAAAAATAGATAACATAAATAAAACATGCTGAAAATTTCAGTCAAATTGCTCCACTCTGAACCAAGATATTAGCTTTTGAATTTTAGAATGGCCTCGATCATTATTAAAGTTTTTGTTATCTATTTTTACGTTTAATTATTTTTCAAAAAATGGATTCCAATCTGCTAAAAATCGCAGGCTAGCGATGGCGTCAAGAGTTGATTATGGTCTGGATAAGTTAATTAATGTCTATTTAATAATTTAGATAACATTTCGGACCTAAAGAAAGACCTGCAATGGGTAGATTTAGCTCTTGCATATTGTATATTTAAGTTTTATGGTTTTGTTTTATTTTTTTAAATCCTGGTTTTTACAAGTCAGAATATCAATATATCATTTTCTTGTGTTTTGTTCAAGAAGCGATTTATTATAGAGAAGTCTATATTATCATTGTAATTGTAAATATTTGATTCTATATTATACAGTATATATTATATATATTTTATGTGATGAAACCATTAATTATAATGTATTGTGTCTTATATCAGCAAATTGTATGGTCAATTGTATGAATGTGTTTTAAATTGAATTTGTCAAAATGAATTTGTTATGGAGTTATTCGAAGCATTCAGACTCTGTCGTCTATGAATAACCCATATTATCTCATGTTGACCTATATACTGGTTATCTCGTGTTGACCTATATACTGGTTATCTCGTGTTGACCTATATACTGGTTATCTCTGTTGACCTATATACTGGTTATCTCTGCTGACCTGTATATTGGTTATCTTTGACCTATGTACTGGTTATCCCGTGTTGACCTATATACTGGTTATCTCCCATTGACCTATATACTGGCTATCTCCTGTTGACCTATATACTAGTTATCTCATGTTGACCTATATACTGATTATCTCATGTTGACCTATATACTGATTATCTCTGTTTACCTATATACTGGTTATTCCATGATATTCTACTACTTCCAGGGCTGGATTAAGTTTGCATGAGGCACCTGGCTGAAAATGTCACTGGGGCCCTTACATCAACAGTGGAAAGGCCATGTTAGAGTATGGTTGAAAGATGGATTTATTTGGTACAAAGATATACGACATCTTAAATGACATATTTATTTATGGTACAAATTTTTTTTTTAGAACTAATTACGGGCCCCTTCTATATTGGGGCTGCCTTCAATATTGGGACTGCCTTCTATACTGGGACTGCCTTCAATATTGGGACCGTCTTCTATATAGGGAGCGCCGTCAATATTGGGGCCCCGGTCTATATAGGGGTCACCTCGCTGCAGCCTAGTCAGCCTCCTTCTTATTCAGACCCTGGATACTTCAGTCTATGGATACAACATCTCATGTTTTCTTTTATTATTTATGAACACTTCATTTCACACTATTTAAAGTTTTAAATCTAGTCAACGCAAGGTTCTCTCTCTCTCGCTTTTGAAATGCACAATCAGGTACATTTGGTTTTTAAATAAGTCTTTTTCCAGAAAAAATAATTGGGAAAATGTTTAGCGTTGGTCCCGAAGAGCAAAGAATCGAATGAATGTGGCTTGATCGACTTGTTCGGATAAAATGATTCTCCTTGTTTCTATTGGTCTTTCTAATATCCCAATCATATTCAATAGGGCTTTTGGTTTTCGACTGGTCTCGAAACTGTTGAGTTCTTCCTTTGGTACCTCATCACTTCGATATCCCACACCTTCAATCTAAGGTACCTTTCTGATTTTACAAAAGCGAAGAACATTTAATGTATGAAACCAAATTTAACCATTATATTGGCGTTTATGATAAAATCTATGTTATTGATAGTACCTCTATTAAAGGCATGTGATTAAGTATCATAAAGTATTTTAAACAATATTTTCCTAATGATGTCTCTAAATGATTTTAAATTAAAACAGGTAGAGGCCAGAGGGATAAGATTTATGTTAGTGATAAAAGTATTTTACATACCTTGATCTGAAATATATCATTAGTACCCTAATATATCATTTTTATACACCCATATTTTCATATGGATGTATATTGTTGTCGCCCCTGTCCGGTTGTCCGTTCACATTTTGTTTGTAGACACGCTTCGTCCATTTTTGATGAAAATTAAAACCTATGTTTATATCTGAAAGATCTCCGTTCCTTTTGTTGGACTGTAACATCCTGGATTATATATCCCCTTATTGTACGAAAATCGCATTTTTAACTTGATCTCTGTCCATCTTTTGCAACATGTGGGTGTATCTTGCAACCGCTTCTTGTATTCTAAAACTAGTGCCAAGCCCACTTAATGGTATGTTATGGATCAAGCACACCAATGATAAATGAAGGATGATGGTTATAACAAGATGGTGATAAGATATGTGAAATCAAATGTATAATAATGATTTTGTTTTTTTGTGTATATTTGTTGTTTGTTTTTGTAGAATGTATTATTATAATGATATACACATGGTACTTTATTAAAATCACCATATCTTTAATACTTGATTTATTTATTCATAGGATACCTGGCTTTGTCTGGGGCCCAAATTCATTGGTCTAAAACATTCAAGGGGTAATGCTGGTTAATATGATCCCACTTATGTGGGGGTGGAGGGCCTCGACGAAGCGTTATTCGCCAAAGGCCCCAAAATTTGTAGCCTAAAACATTTAAGGTGTCATGCTGGTTAATCTGATACCACATATGTTGGGGTGGAGCGCCTTGACGAAGCGTTATTTGCCCGGGGCCCAACAATTCAATGGCCTAAACGATTCAAGGGATCATGCTGGTTAATTTGATACCACATGTGTGGGGGTGGAGCGCCTCAACGAAGCGTTATTCTCCCAGGGTCCAAAAATTTGATGGCCTAAAACATTCACAGGCTCATACTTATTAATTTGATACCACATATGTTGGGGTGGAGCGCCTTGACGAAGTGTTAAACATTCAAGGGGTCATGCTGTTTAATTTGATACCACACATGTGGGGTTTGGAGCGCCTCGTCGAAGTGTTATTCACCCTAGGCCCAACAATTCGATGGCCTAAAACATTCAAGGGGTCATGCTGTTTAATTTGATCCCATTGATACGACATATGCGGGGGTGGAGCGCCTCGACGAAGCGTTATTCGCCCCTTGCCCAAAATCGATGGCCTCAAACATTCACGGGATCATGCTGGTTATTTTGATGCCAAATATGTGGTGGTGGATCGCGGCGGCGAGACGTGGTGGGCGAAAACACACAGAAAAATCTTTGATTGTTTTTATAGATTTGGCCTGGATGATGGGGTCTGTGCAAGACTAACATGATCTGGATGACGGGGTTTGTGCAGCACTAAACATGAAATGATTTAAAATGGCGTCTAGCTCCTACTTTTCTGCATCAACTGGGATAATGAAGGTGGGCGTACGCTATACAGTTTGCTGTGAGAGAAATGTGCCCAGCCTAGCTGCAGTATGGCCTACTTGAATTTCAACCGCAGGTTTTCATACCATCCGAAACCTAACATGACAAGAGTTTTACAGACATTCCAGCAAAGTGTAAATTCATGATTGAAAGGAAGAATTTCAATATTATTCTGCATTTGATTCAACAGTGACCTTTTTTGTCTGCTAAGGGGGTGGGGGTATTGTGATGGGTCTTTTGTCGCCTAGTAGAAGGGGGAGTCTCATGATTGACTGCCGAACTTTATCAATCCAAATATAATGCTACTTTACGAATATTTAACTCTGCATTTGGTTCAACAGGGACCCTTTTTTATGGTAAGTGGATGGGGGGCATTGTGATGGGTCTTTTGTCGCCTAGTAGAAGGGGGAGTCTCATAATTGACTGTCGAACTTTATCAATCCAAATATAATGCTACTTTACGAATATTTAACTCAAAACGTCCACTAGTATTTTTTTTGTTTTTTTTGTTAAGATCTAGATCGATCTCGGGAGGGGTATATACCATGGTGGTGTCTCAAAGAAAGGGGTATTCGCAATACTGTCATGACTGATACCAGCCTCAGAGAAAAGAGCTTGAATGCGAATCCCGAATGATGGAATAACCTTGGTTTTCAGTAAATATAGATGTTCATGATAGGGTCTAAATATGGTGTTTAATGAAATATGATGAAACACAGATGCATACTGCCGACTGCCAGTTTATCACGTCTGTCGTGCAATGAGGGCTTGTGCGCCTTGAAGTATAAACTCTTCACTGGAGATGTACGGAATGCTACTAAACTAAATCCTTGGTTGTGTATACCTGTATGGTGTCGAGCTCATTGGGATAAGATTCTCGGGCAGACCCATACACAATACACCCATAATCGAGTTTAGATCTTATCCCTGCTCGATATAATCTGAACAAGAACTTAAGGTCTGTGTTTTATAAGACTCTCAATATATTGAGGGCTTTCAGACATTTCTTCTTCAGGGTATTTATATGAGGGATAAATGATAATTTCTTATCAAATATCAAACCCATCGTTGAATAGAAATCAAGCAAAGCTGCAACTGACGTTCGATTGTCTGCATACTTGTCAATCCGTAACACATCTGAAAGTCGTCAACATAAAGAAAGCCGTCGATCCCACGTTTAAGGTACGTGGGTATCGTATTTATTTTGATAGAAAAAAAGAGTGGGAGATAATATACTTCCCAGGGGAACTCCCATTTTCTGGGGAAATGGGTCAGAGAAAATTGATCCTAAACGTACCTTAAACGACCTATCTTTTAAGAACCTTTTATTGAAGATAGATAAGCGACCCAGCAGACCGAGGTTATGCAGGTCGCGCATGATACCATGTTTCCATGTAGTATCATAAGCTTTCTCCAGATAAAAAAAATATAGCAACTAAATGTTGTTTCTGGAGGAAAGCATCCCTGACAAACGTTTCAAATCTAACGAGATGATCAAGAGTGCTCCTTTGGGACCGAAATCCACATTGGAGAACTGTAATGGGGTTCTTAGCCTCAAGGTACCAAATAAGCCTTCGATTGATCAATCTCTCCATGGTTTTGCAAATGCAGCTAGTTAAAACAATCGGATGATAACTGGTAGGATTCGTAGGATCTTCACCCGATTTAGGGATGGAAATTATTATGGCTTCATGCCACGAGGCAGGGAAATTCCAATCAACTCAAATCCGGTTATAAAGATCTAATAACATTAAAAGTGTAGAAAAGGGTAGATGTTTTAAAATCTGGCAGTAAATTTCGTCTGGACCGGTTGGAGAACCACGGAGAAAGAGAGAGAAATGGGGTTTAACTTCCACTCGACACAAACTAGGTCATTCCGGGACGAACATATGATTAATTTTATTTCATTAATTCGCTTGCGAGTAGGGGTCTTTAGCAGTGGGAGGAAACCGGAGGACCCGGAGAAAACCCACGAGGATGGACAGGCGACCCTACTCCTTGTCACGTACAACCGGGGATTCGAAACCACGCCAGTTGACTCAATGACAGGCCGTATGATGCAGCACGCACGTGCTAACCATTCGGCCATCCAACCCCCGGAGAATCACGGAGTTCAGCAATAGAAAACTTATCATTATAACATTAATCATTACGGGACTTGAAGCCAAGTCGTCTATCTTTATCAATCCAAATATAATGCTACTTCACGAATATTTAACTCAAAACATCCACTCTATTTATCTAAGACACGATCCTCCCTATGGAAATCGTGTATGACACTGGGCGGCCATGCCCTCCTCTTTTGTGCATCAACAATTTTTTGTCCCAAATGTGAATTCTATTATAAATCTATAATAAAACAAAATCCATAAAAAAAACTCTACACAAGCTACACCGTGTACTATATACAGTGTACTTCAAAATCTCAAAAAGAAAATTTGAAAATTAATTTCATCTAAATCTGTGAAATGAAATAAAATGGCATGGAGAGAGAGGAGAGAGAGAGAGAGAGAGAGAGAGATGGGGTTAAACGTCCACTCGAAACAAACTAGGTCATTTCAATAATTCGCTTGCGCGTGGGGGTCTTTAGCAGTGGGGGGACCCGGAGAAAACCCACGGGGTTGGACAGGCGGCCTTACGTACAACCGGGGAATCGAAACCCCGCCGGTTGACTCAATGACGTGCATCCAACAACCCAAAATGGTGTGGATTTAACGTCTTACGCTTATTAAAGGCTTAATATACGGCATGTAATGTTGCTAAGAGGAGGGCACAACGAAGCTACATCACGTAAAAAAAAGAACCCTAGAAATTTGGAATTCGGTATAGAGTAGGCGAAAATGACACCGCCCGGGCAAAATTTCTCTGACAGCACACAACATTACGTATGCCTGTCTTCATTAGCCGATTTAGTCCGTTGGTGCAGAAAAGTACATTTCATAGATTTGTGTTATTAACTCACCATATGTGAAGTTATAATCCTGAACTTTTCACTTATTAAAGGGAAATCTTTGCCAAATCATTGAATTAATCCATAAATCAGTACAAACAATAAATCGATCTTTTTGTTCGGATCCTTTTTTTGTTTTTGCACAATATAGCCCATACCGTTAAACACCATTTCATTCCGAGAAGATAATTGTTGCATTGCAGTTCGGATGAGACCAGAAATCGAGCTCCACCGACAGCAGAAATAAAAACCAATTGTTAGAATTCGGACGCTTCTTTTTTGTCAATTACAGTTTAGATAGTAGTGGTCATTTCTGAAATTCTCAAATGAAAAAGTGTTCTTGAGCAAAGACCAGAGAGAGAGAGAGAGAGAGAGAGAGAGAGAGAGAGAGAGAAAGCGAGAGGGAGAGAGAAGGGGGGGGGGGTAAAGTCCACTCGACACAAACTAGGTTATTTCGGGACTAACATATGATGGTTCAATTTACTTTCAACAATTTATAAAGGAGCAAACGTGAGGACCCGGAGACAGTCGACCCTAATTCTTGTCGTGTACAGATGGGGAATCAAACAACGCCACTTGACTCTAACCCTAACCCTAGACCCAATGCTTACCCTAACCCTAACCTACAATCTCGCCAACGATCACCTGCCCTAACCTTATTTACATCTCAGGGACCTTGACAAAAATTGAGCTGGCCTTAACAAATAAATTTAGCCGTAAATCCGACACTGATGTTCTAAAAACAGTATCCGTCTTCATTAGCCCAGTTCGGAGCAGAACAGTAGGGCGTTAAACCCCATTTCATTTCATTTCATTTCTAAAAACAGTATACACAACTTTCTCAAAACATTCTTTTCTTGTTGAATTGTCCATTATATTCAGGGCTTAGCCTTCAACTATTAATTGACATGAAATGTTTTTTGGCTGGTAATCAGGTCGACGAGAATGAAGTCACCCGTACAATAATCCAATTAGATTGTTTTAGTCTTACTGAATTAAACCAGTACAATTTTTACTTATAGAGTATAGGGATTGGTTATTGACTGGTCTGTCACCGTTTCTATCAAAGTTCCAGCTACATTATTGTTTATATTCGATAGTATAGGGATTGGTTATTGACTGGTCTGTCAGTTTCTATAACAGTTTCACCTAGATTATTGTTTATATTCGATAGTAGAAAGGTAAGGCGACGTTAAGATTGTATAAAATATATTAATAACAATCTGTTTAAAGGAGCTAAATCGCTAACATTTGGGAACTAGAAATTGACAAAAGTGGGTCGCAACGCATATAATACTGTAATATGAATGTCTAGTTCTTAGGATGAGACGAAAAACCGAGGTCCCGTGTATATGTTGGAATGCACGTAAAAGATCCCCTGGCAGTTGGAATTCGATATAAGAGTAGGCGATAATGCCGCTGCCCGGGCAAAATTTCCCTCAGCCTTTACTTATTACTTCCACGTTCTTCATCGGGATTTACCGGCGTGGTTTCTTATTGTCAGTGATGTAGGACGTGGTGGCGGGTGGCAAGGAACAACGTATAGTCGTTTGGATGGGACGAAAAACCCGAGGTTGTGTGAAGACATTGGCGTGCAAGTAAACAATTGATGAAGAATAGGGTGAAACGTCGCTGTCCGGGCAGAATTCACCTTCCTAGTACTGCACACGTGACCACCAGCAAAATTATTCACGAGTTATTCTCAAAATGAAAACAGTATAAATTTGTTTGACAAAATGTTAAACTCCGAAAGAGGGTAGGAAGACCAAACTTAGGACACTTTAGGGGGCAGCGCCAGGAAATTTTTGGTTCTGTGGTACATGCTAGAATCGATTTGGCGTATATATCTGAGCCATAGATACCATACATTGATACTTGGTTTAGGGGTTATGATTATGTCCTGAAGATCTGAACACGAACATAGTTAGCAACAACCAAGAACTAAGCGAAATGAGGGCACTTTTTCAGAAGAGAGGGCGCATAGTCACACACACCCTATGCCTTACCTACGCGCTCAACACGTCTCTGGGTCACGCTTACAGACTCTTTGATGGAAATTTATCTACTTTTGTTTTAGCAATACAAAATGGGGAGTGGGGCATCAAATGGGACACAAGAAACGCCAGAAGAAGAAGGGACAAGGAAACGGAAGTTACAAGCCAAGGTGAGGACTGTGGGATTCCTGTCGACATTCTCCAACTGGAGACAGCGCGAGAAAGATAGGGCGGAACTGAGAAAAAATATGGAACAATTAAAACAGGAGAAAAAAGTTATGTTTGAAGAAATCGATGAAATGAATTCGACTATCGATGATGAGGATCGATTCAGGCGAAAATCAACAAAGGTTGCCGTGTTTAATCGAAACACACGGGATTCGGACAAACCCATGTGGGCAGCTGTAAGTATGTCCTGTAGAACTAAATAACATGCACTAATCTCAGAGCACTGATAAGAAATTGGCGGACCAAGAGCGTAGTTCGTGAAGCCTTAACATTTGAGAAATTGTCATTGCTATATACGTAACTTATGAAATTGACACACATACGAATTTTAGTTCTTAGCGCACCATGTATTAAAGTTACAATTTCATATTTTCTAAGAAAGTCAAAACATAATTATTTCTATGCCTTTTGCTCAATAGGTTGTCAACTCACTATTATACATACGATCATAGGTGTCATTCTCACACTTAAAACTCATTCACACAATTACCTCCCAATTACCTCCCTTGTTTTCTATTCTCCACCATGGAGTAGCTATCCCCAAACTTTTGAATTTGAAGAGGAAAATGATATTTTTGACAATTTCTCAACTGGCAATAGTGAATTATACGATTATCAGGATTATTCTTTAACAAGGTAGGAATGTTTATAGATACCATCTATTTTAAGGCTTTATTTTAATAAATTTTAAAAATATAACGTAAAAATATGAAATTGCAACTTTAACTCTTAATGTTGTAGGGGGTTGAATAAGATATCACAAGGTCTGTCATTGAGTCAGCTGGCGCGGTTTTGATTCCCCGATTGTACGTGACAAGGAGTAGGGTCGCCTATCCAACCTCGTGGGTTTTCTCCCACTGCTAAAGACCTTTTTACGTGGAATCGAGTTATTGAAATAAAATTGAACCATATGTTAGTCCCGAAATGACCTAGTCGGTGTCATCAAATCCCAATTCAACAATGAATATTCATATGCATAGCCATTTCTCATTACGGAAGCGTCTTTATGTTCATGGGGGTCACGGTGATCAAGTGAGTAAGATGTTTGCTCGCTAACTTAGAGGTCCTGTGTTTGATCCCGGTGTTGGCGGAGAAAGTTTTTTTTGACGTGGTTCCCCCTTGTCAGTGGTGTAGGACGAATGGCCTGGCAAGGAAACAGGTATACTCGTTCGTACGGCATAAAAACCCGATGTTTCGTGCACGTAAATGATCCCTTGACAGTTGGAATTCGAAATAAAATAGGCGCAAAATTTCCCTCATAGCACACCGTGTGGGGTATGCACGTGTTCATTAGCCCGTTCGGTGCTGAACAGTAGGACGTTAAACTCGATTTCATATTTCATTTCCATACTGTCAGGCCTTCCAGGAATCTTAGCAATAAAGTGAGATTTACTGCGGACCGGTTGGAACAATTTTAATAAAAATGGTGCCAGATGTGCTTTTTAATGTTTGTATACATGTGGGGGGGGGGGGTGGATGGCTCTATGGTTAGCGCGTGCGCATTGTGTCGTAAGGTCTGTCATTGAGTCAGCTGGTGTGGTGTCTATTCCCCAGTAGCCTGTCCAACCTCGTGGGTTTCTCCGGGTCCTCCGGTTTCCTCTCACTGCTTAAGATCCCTACGCACAAGCCAATTATTGAAATAAGAAATTGAACCACATGTTGGTCCCGAAATGACCTAGTTTATGTCGAGTGGACATTAAACCCCATCTCTCTCCCTCTCTCTCTTGTATACATGTATTTTTCAAATCTGTTTTTTTGTTTTTTTTTTAATTTTTTTTTTTATTTTTAGTTTGAAAGTGACGCTAAGTGTTTTTTATGCAGAGAACGTGTGGATATAGAAGTGGGGTTTCCATGCCGAGTTTGTACGAAGATATTTCACGAGGAATGTTTGCAGGACTGTGGCGAATGTAGAAAAATAGACAGGGATTTATGTCATCGTGCAAGATCTAATACAGGGTGGAGTTGCTATATATGTGTAAGTTCGAACCCACCTTAGTCACTCTAATACACTAAGTGGGCCCAGTGGTTGGTGTAATTAAGTAGGGTTTACAGTAGCGTATGCAAGATTTCCGAATTGTGGGAGTGGTGGGCGTGGTGGCACATATATATAAGCATTACTTAAATTAATATAAAAGGGGGAGCAGTGGAAGGCGGGAGATCAAATACTTCTTGAAATAGCACTATCATGATAGATTTAATATATGTACCTGGAAAACAAGCTTGGCGACGTTTAGAACGTATTATAGCTTACAGCGAGCTTCGTCAAATAACAAACCCGTAGTTTCTTCGCCAGATAACAAACCCATACTTTCCAGCAAGCTTCGCCAAATAACAAGCCGTAGTTTCCAGCGACCTTCGTCACAAATACAAAGCCATGGGTCCCAGCGAGCTTCGTCAAAGAACAAAACCATAGTTCCCAGCGGTTGTCAAGTTGCCGCCATTACCAGCCTGTTTCCCCAACACTCCACCCTTAATAAGCCACCGTGGGGATGAAACTGAATGAATAATTAATAATGAATTAAATGATTTCGAAATTGTCATTAGAAACTATGACAATTAAACCGAGCGACTTCACATCAACAGAAGATTATGCCATAACCCAAAATATAATTATTTTGTTGATTTTGAATTAGGTTTTATTCCTGTATTATGACCCTAATCTCACAGACAGACACAGAAATGGGGTTTAACGTCCACTCCACACAAACTAGGTCATTTCGGGACTAACATATGGTTTAATTTTATTTCAATAATTCGCTTGCGCATAGGGGTCTTTAGCAGTGGGAGGAAACCGGAGGACCCGGAGAAAACCCACGAGGTTGGACAGGCGACCCTACTCCTTGTCACGTACAACCGGGGATTGATCCTAATCTGATAACCTTATACATTTTAATCAGATTTTGAAATTTTACAATTTTTTTTATCAGATTTTGAAATTTAGGTTTGTTGCTGACAGTTTTTGAATTTTAGGTTTGTTGCTGACAGATTTTGAATTTTAGGTTTGTTGCTGACAGATTTTGAAATTTTACAATTTTTATCAAATTTTCAAATTTCACAATTTTAATCAGATTTTGAATTTTTTCAATTTTAATCAGATTTTCAAATATTAATCAGATTTTCAAATTTTAATCAGATTTTTACAATTTTAATCAGATTTTACAATTTTATAATTTTAATCTGTTTTTGAAATTTTATAATTTTAATCTGTTTTTGAAATTTTATAATTTTAATCTGTTTTTGAAATTTTATAATTTTAATCTGTTTTTGAAATTTTACAATTTTTAATTAGATTTTAAAATTTTATAATTATCAGGGAAATTTAGGTTTGTTGCTGACAGATGAAGAAATGGGAAAGGTGGTGAGAAAATTTGAAAAATATGACATAAATCAAGGTAGAATACAATTTCAATTTATTTTGAGATACCAATGTCGGTAATTTTAAGGTTGGACATATTCGTGACAGGTCATAGACATCTTATTTATAATGATTAGCTCTGTCAAAATTGAATTGATCACAGGTGCTAAGTGAGAGGAATGCAATGACAAGCTTTGCGTCATGGTTTTGAGTTTTTGTGCCCTCTTGCGTTTTTGCGCCCCTTCGCAAATGGCAAAAAATCACGCTCAGCCAGTGTCAAACATATACCGTGGGTCCGATATGCTACAAATCGACTCTAGCATGTTCCAGAGAGCTCAACATTACCCGGCGGCACTGGGAGGGACTCCCCCCCCCCCGCACACAAATGTAAATATTGTTTTTCTTGGGGCTCCGGTGGGATCTTGTTCCTCATGCAAAGTCATGGGTCACCACGCCCCCGATTCATCATCAACGTCTAGGCAAGGGTCAGAGGTAGGGCTGAATTTTAAAAATAAACCCATAATTTAAACAATCACGAATTACTCTATTTTACAGATACCATGGTGTCGGAGGATGAATATTGTAAAATCAGAGAAGAAGAATTTGAAGAAATTGAAATCAAATCTCCCGGTAGATTCGATGTTCAACGTTTCTTACTGGATTTCCGATTGGCTGATGTTGATTGCGACGGCAAGCTTGATTGGTGGGAATTTGTAAACCACGAAGCACAGCAAGTGTTAATTCATAGGTCAAAGGTGTGTTTATTCTCAAATTATTGAATTAGAAAGGCGACAGTTATAGGTTACATTGAGTTTTGCCTCGTGTTGTGGAGGACAAAAGTCGCTAGTGGGGGTTCCTGGGGGGGGGCTGTTTGATTTGTGAGGCTTCCAGGGCGGGGGGGGGGGGGGTCTGTCTGATTTGTGAGGCTTCCAGAGGGCTACTGTTTGCTTTGGTAGGCTTCCGGGGGGTTATGTTTGGTTAAGTGGAGTTCCGGGGTTTCTGTCTGGTTTGTTGGCGGTTGAGGGGAGTTTCTGTTTAGTTTGGTTAGGGTTGCGGAAGTTTCTTTTTGATTAAGTGGGGTTCCGTCGAGGTGGGGTGCGGGTGCTGTTTTATTCGATGGGTCTTTGCCTTTAGACATGATATCAAATTGTAACGAGAACGAAAACAGATTGGACACGGAACTTGAATTCTTTTTGCGCTGATATATTTTATGATTAATTCAACAACAAAACGTCACAAATGAACATGCACTGAACCTCAATTTGGCAGCATCGGCTTGTATAAAAGCAACAGAAAAAAAACAATTAAAGCAGCAGCCATTCAAATGTTTCTGCTGTGATTTGCCAATAACCACATGTTGGCAGCAACATTTTAGGTTGATTACAAGATCAAAAGTGCCATTCGATGACCGAGATATTCTAATGATTTGAAAACATGAAGAAGGTCACCCTTCTGAATTGATACGTTTGACTGGAGCTCGTAACTTGATCGACTTTTGCTAAAGGTGTCTAATATAGCGTTTATTGGTGTCTGTTGTCGTTAAATCAGACTGACTTAGATTCGTACTTTGAATGGGAGAGAGAGAGAAATGGGGTTTAACGTCCACTCGACACAAACTAGGTCATTTCGGGGTCTTTAGCAGTGGGAGGAAACCGGAGGACCCGGAGAAAACCCACGAGGTTGGACAGGCGACCCTACTCCTTGTCACGTACAACCGGAGATTTTAAACCAGGCGTACTTTGAATGGAGTTTGAAAGAAGGTATGTTGTAATACAAATAAATGTTCAATATTTCTATTCTATTTAACATTCACCAAATCAACTCTCCATTGACTTGTCCCGTCCCGCCACCACAAAGGTAATCCGGCCCTGTCCTCTGTCTTAGCACCTTATCGAAAGGCCTTTCCGGAAAATCGATCCTGGGGAAAAATGGGTAAACCATGCACTCCCATGTGCGGCTAATATTCGGGGAGGGTGAGGGGGTGGTGGATGGCCGAATGGTTAGAGTGGCTGTATCATAAGGCCTGTCATTGGTGGTCAGCTGGTTTGGTTTCGATTTCCCGGTTGTACTTGACAAGGAGTATGATCGCCTGTGTCCAACCTCGTGGGTCCTCTAGTTTCCCCCAACTGCTAAAGACCCCTATGTTAGTCCCGAAATGACCTAGTTTGTGTCCTGTGGACGTTAAACCTCTCTATCTCTCTCTCTCCTCTCTCTCTCTCTCTCTCTCTCCGCTAATAATGCACCACACCGCACCTGTGGACCATAGAACCTCGTTCGTACAAGCAATCGTACACCAATGCCAGTGATATTTAGAACTTGTGGTAATAAGGCTTTATTTATTTTTGTATTTACAGGACGAATTGGTTGATTTATTAACAGAGAAAGAATTATTGAAAGCTAAATCATTATTCCGTACATTTGATAAAGATGATAATGGTTTTATAACGGAGATCAGTGCAAAAGAAGCTTACAGACTTTGGTATCAAAAGCTTGAAAGTACAAAAAAGGCGAAGTAAATATTGAAATTCCCTCTTCTAGATCTTGTGGTAGAATGCACTGTAACCCGGGTATCATTTAATCTTGTGTATTTAGCACTAATTTCTTTCACATTGGTTTAATATCAAATCGTTGTTGAAAAGTTCGTAAAATTACCAAAAGTCATCTAATCTGTATTTGTGGTGTCCAGTTTAAGACTGACCATCCGATTTTTGATAATGAGTGCCCAATTTACAAGCGTTTAATTTCTCGATCACTGTTAAATTAATTATTACTGTATAATGATTAATTTTTGAACAGTGGTCAGGAAATTAAATACTTGTAAATGGAACACTCATTATCAACAATAATCAGTCATCTTTAAACTAGTACAAATTAAAAAAAACACTTATATGGATATACTACTTCTGAATTTATTAACATGCTACGTTTCGATACACATACATATATCGTTATCAAGCGTTATCAAGAAAATATTGATTTTTCAAAAATGTGGTGCAAATTAGATGATTTTAAACGATTTGTAAGCAAATTAGATGATTTTAAACGATTTGTACGAATTTTTAAACAAAGATTTGATATTAAAAAGATTGTGAAAGAAATTAGTGATGGATACACAACATTAAATGATACCCCGGTTACAGTGATAATACATTCTTGAATCTCAGTAGTTTTAATAAATAAATAAATAAATATATATGTCCTTGACGAAAATTGAGCAGCCCCGATTTCACGATTCTGCTCATTTTGCAGTGTGGAAATGAAGTGAAATGGGGTTTAACGTCCTGCTTTTTCAGCTCGGAACATTCCAGATTTTACAATCGGGCAACCTCCTGATCATTGACGGGTGCGGGAGAGGATTTTAGCTTGCGGTAATCAAGCCAACTGAAGCTATAGATTTGTACGCCTAGAATGGCTAGAAATATTTTTATCAACGGGTTAAGTATATATGTCTTCATGATAGTCACCAGTAAATTCTTTATCGAAACGAAATAAAGTAAAATGGGGTTTAACGTCCCACTGTTCAGCTCCGACGAGGCCAATGAAGACGGACCTACTTTATTTTGCCTGGACAATGGTGCTACGGCCTACTCTTATATCGACCCCCAACTGCCAACGAATCTTTTACACGCACGCCAATATGTAAACGGGACATCGGCGTTTCGTTCCATTCGAACGACTATACCTTTTCCCTTGCCAGGCCCACGGTCCTGCACCACTGACAAGGAGGGGCCACGCCGGATAATCCCGATAAATGACATGAAATGAAATGGAGTTTAACGTCCTGCTGTTCTCCTCCGACTGGGCTAATGAAGACGGGCATACACCATACAGTGTGCTATGGAGAAATGTTGCCCGGACAGCGGCACTACGGGCTATTCTTATATCGAATTCCAACTGTCAAGGGATCTTTTACGTGCACGCCAATGTGTACACGGGACCTCGGTTTTTCGTCCCATCCGAACGACTAGACAGCTGTCCTTGTCAGGCCCTAATCCCGATAAACTAAATCGGCCAACGCAGGGATCGAACACGGAACCTCCAGATTTGATGTTTTGAACATTTTGACACGACTGTTTTGTATTATTGTTTTCTAGAGGTAAAGGCGGCAAAGGAGACGACATGTTAGAAATTCACGTCAATCTTTGTACCAACATGTTGATGCAGATGAACGATCGTGAACACGAGTAAGTCATATTTCTGTTGCCCTGAACAATCGTGAACACGAGTAAGTCACATTAATATTACCGTGAACACGTGAAAGTCATATTTCTGTTGCCCTGGACAATGGTGAACACGAGTAGGTCATATTAATATTGCCCTGTACAATCGTGAACACGAGTAAGCCATATATAAATTATGCTCTGAACAATGGCAAACACTAGGAACTCATGTTACTACTGTGCTTAACAATCATGAACACGAGTGAGTCATATTATTGTTACTCTTAACAATTGCAAACACGAGTAAGTCATATCAATACTGCCCTGAATAGTATAAATTTAAATTTTGAAGCAGTATCCCTTTGTGTGACGTACTTTCATACTAGATAGAGACTATTTTTCTGCGCGAGTACACCCGCCTCCGATCCCAGGTGACAATAAATTACAATATTATGCTCTTTGTTTCAGCTGCATACTTTGGTCTGATTTCCTGGACGATCAGGCATTGTATCTTATTACATCCAGACCGAATCAAGCAGACATATTCAGAAGAGCATAATCATGATAGAAGATTCGCCGTGACTCTTTGATCCAGAAGCTCCTCAACGGTCCCACTTCGCGGTCCTGTCCCCGCGATTGATATCTATAAAAATATTCATTAGGTTCACCTAGCCATTGGCACATGCATATAAAAACTTTTAGTGTAACTCAAGTTTTAGTCGATTATCACCCCCTTTTGATATTTCTTTGGCAATTAAATTAAAACTGTGGTGAAATGAAATGGGGTTTAACGTCCTACTGTTCTGCTTCGAGTGCGCTAATGAAGACGGGCATACAGTGTGCTATGACGGAAATTTTGCCCGGGCAGCGGCAACATGGCCTAATCTTATATCGAATTCCTATTGCCATGGGATCTTTTACGTGCATGCCGATGTATACACGGGACCTAGGTTTTTCGTCCCATCCGAACGAATCCACAGCTTTTCTTGTCAGGCCCTCCATCCTGCTCCACTGACGGAAAACACGCCGGGAAATTCCAAATGAACTTTCTCGGCCGAAACTGTGGTATTTGCTTTCCGTTTTCTTTGGTTGGTCACGCATGCTTTAAGGGAACCTTTTGCCTAGACAGTGGCGTTTGCACATACTCTTCGCCGAATGTGTACCCGGGTTCTCGATTTGTCGCACCATCTACAAGACTAGACAATTTTCCTGGCCAGGTACTGCGTCCCTCACAACCGATCACGGTAACTGGCCTGGAAAATATGGCTGTGACTACGACAGGTATGGAAATTAAATGAAATGGGATTTAAAGTCATACATTTTTGCACCGACTGGGATAATGAAGACAGGCACACGCCAAACAGTGGGCTGAGGAACAGCTTGCTATGGCCGACTCTTACATCGAATTCCATCTGTCAAGGGTCCTTTTATGTGTACACCTATGTGTACATGGGACCTCGGTTTTTGTCCCATCCGACCGACTATAAGTTGTCCATTCCCAGGTCTTTGTCCTGCACCACTGACAAGGAGCAGCCACGCTAGAAGGTTAGCGAGCCAACGTATTACTCACTGAGCCACCGCGACTCACTCAAACTTAGGAAACAATCCGCTTAATTCTGGAAACAAAATTCAACTGGATAGAGTTTGTCCCACTCCTTTTCGATACAGCACATCTGACCTACCCAGTAAAATGAAAGATGTTTATCTCTTAGTATTTACTGAATTACTTGTTTTGTTTTTTTTTAAATGGAAGAAAAAACAACCGAGTTATTTTTTCAATAAAACGTTTATATGGTTAAAAACAAATAATACAATCTAAAAACAAACTAAAAATCATTCCTATTGTTGTGGATATTGCTTTGCCCAAATCAATAAACCCTGATCCCTTGTTAAAGCTTCTATTTCTATTAAAGTCCCTCCTACTGTTATTTTCGGTTTATACCCGGCCTTTAGTAAAATATCTGCTGTTTCCAACGTCTCCACCTTACTCTCTTCGTGGGCCCAATGCATAAATATAAACGGAACATCAATGGCGTTTAGGAAAGTTTTAGAAGATTTGAACATAAGATGTTCCGAACCGGATATGTCGACTTTCAAAATGGCTTTCTTGAATTTTAAAATTTTCACGAGGTCATCTAAGGTTATCGTCTTTACGATCTGTCTGTGTATATCCATACTATGTTGCAGGGCTTCTTTGTAGTCGACAGGAACAACGTACGCTGAGCCCAAATTTCCCAGAGGTTTAGGGTATTTTACCTCGGCGTACCCACGAACATCCGAGATTGCGTTTCGCAACAACGTGATGTTTTCCGTAAATTCGTTTAGTTGGATAGATTTGTGAAAAGGCCCAATACTTTGTAAAAGTGGCTCCACGGCAAGCACCTGTCTACCGTAGACTGCCGACGTCAGAGAATAGACTCCGAGATTGGCACCAAGATCGATAACTCCACAATCATGACAGGCTTCCAAGGCTCGCTGAAATTCCTGTAGGTTTTGGGCTTCCCACACCCCCTTCCTAGCTAAATTCTCGGAGATCGGTTTATCGAGAAGGGGGTCATTCACGCAGATTTTTGTGCTGTTAATGATCAATTTTAAAGAAACACAATTGAATGTCAGATCTACGTTTTGGTGAGTGTCGTAAACGTTGAAGGCTTCGTTATCTACCCCTTGTGTTGCGACAGGAGCCGCTCTTGTCGGCTTTAAAAAATCAATCGGTGGTAAAGCCGGTGGTAAAACGGATGGGGGTTGTGGTTTGTTTCTAGAATAGTACTTCATTAATTCCATTGCGGCTTTACCTTTGACCTTTCCACTGATTACAAGATTCATGATTTTATTGTCATCTAGAGGACCATCTAACACTAGATTCTTCAATATATTCTCGTCTTTTGACTGTTCCGCACCAACTGCATTGCCTGAAATAAAATAATATCATTAGCTTTAATAGGGTGGCGTTGGGTGGTCCAGTGATCTAAAACATGTGCTTCAGATCACCAGGTCTATCAGTGAGTCAAATGGTCGGGTTTCCATCCCAAGCTTGTACATGACCAGAAGTGGGGACGCCTGTCCAATCCCGAGGGTTTTCTCCTGGTCCAACGATTTCCTGCCGCAACTAAAGACACATTCTTTACGTAGACTGTTTCACACTGGTCATGCAAAGAATGCGGGGATTCCAAATGACACGAGAACTGCCCTGAATGTGAGAGGGTCTACATAAGTTTTAAACTGTGGTGCAGGACAGATGATTTAGCAACGAAGCCGTCTAGTATTACGGATTTGTCGAAACCCGAAGGTTAACCTGTGAACTCATTGCGGAGAACATAAAAGAACCTTTCACAGTTGGAGTTTGATGCATAGTAGGTAAACACATTAATAAATCAATTTACCTGCTACTTGGGGATTATTCTGATCAGCGCCCACATTTACTCCAGAATCACCTTGTCCAACGACCCCTCCTACACCCGGAACAGCTTGTCCGATGGCCCCTTCTACATCCGGAACAGCTTGTGCGACGGCCCCTCTTACGCCCGGAACATCTTGTCCAATGGCTCCTCCTACACCCGGAACACCATGGCCAGCCTCTAGAAGGCCTCCTTGTGCAGCAGCTCCATCTGCTCCAACTACCTGATTATTATTCCCTGTTTTTATCATCTTGTCTTGATACTTCTTCATCAATTCGTGAACCTTCTTCAAGGCGTCTGATTCTTGGGGCTGAAGCTGGTCTAACGGAAACGCAGACTTTTCCACGTCTTTAACGATGGTCTCTTGAACTCGTTTGTCAGCGTCTAAACTGACCTGTTCTGGCTGAAGAACATTATTAGCGCCTTGGCGATTAATTTGGGGATTGTTCAAAGACGCTGCCTCGCCGTTATGTTCCACAACAACTTCAACACCTCCAATGACCTCTCTCTCTTTCTTGTTTTCGCCTTCCGACTCGAGGTTTTCTATTTGGTGCGGAATGGGTGGATCTTGTAGCCCCTGATCATGGTGATTGGGTTGTGGGTCTATGGGTGGATGATGATGCTCATGACCGTGATGCCTCTGGAAGGCATATGGATCATCATCGGGGATTTTGTTACCATGATCATCTACATTTGGGTTCCAATTTTTGTACTTATTATCAACATTGATCCCATCATCGTGAACAGCATTATTAACGGGTTCTTTTGGATCCTCGTGTTTTTCATCGATGAAGAATTCGACGCCATTGACGACCTCGTGACGACCTTTAACCTTATGGCGTTGAGCTTGATATTGATCGCGGCCATGTTTTTTCAAAAGGTTTTGCAGTGACTGATGCCGATCGTATTCCTCTTGTTCTTTCAATAAACGAGAATATTTGTCATATAGAGTTTTAAATTTCATTCCGTAAACATAATATACACCCACTAGTAATAACACAATGAATATTATCACACACAACTTCCTAAATTTGCTTCGACGCATTTTTATCGATTCCATGAAATACTTCTAATTGGATATTATTTTGAAATCTTCCGACATAAATTAATGAATAGAACACCAACAACAGAACTAAGTCAACTGTTGTTACATACACTGGTATAACGTCACAATTCTTGCAATCCTCTGACAACGTTATAAACAGACTTTATTGCGCGTTTTTATCAATTCCATGAAATGCAGTTAATTGGGTATTAGTTTGAAAGTACGCTGATATAACGTCAAAAATCTTGCATTCCTCTGATAACGCTATAAATAGACTTCACTTTTAAATTATCTATAGATCTAAGCCAAAACACACACACAAAAAAACCCAATTCATTTAATTTCGTTTGTAACGTACACTGATATAACGTCAAAATCTCAGTAACGTACACTGATATTAAGTCAAAATCTATGTAACGTACACTGATATAAAGTCAAAATCTTGCAATCCTCAGATAACGTTATAAACAGACTTTACTGTAAATTGATATATAGATATAAATCAAACTGAAACATTCGTTTAATTGTGCTGGTTTAACGCAAATTACGAAACGACCTGCATCAAAAGTTATTCCATAATTTTAGTATCCGTTTCCACTTTAGAATACAAAACGGTTGGCGAATTGTCGTCTCACCGTTAACACATTAAAGTGAGACGAACTTCCATTTGTAGGCCACGTTTACATCGCAAGGTCCTGACAATAAATTTCATTTTACAATTCTAGCAAATAGTTAAACTTTTGCGAACAATATTTCAGTCACGGATATAAAAACATCTTGTATATTCTTGAAATAATCCCAAGATTTTCTGTAATTCGTTGCTGTGAACTAAACAAAAGAAACACTTCAATGCTTAGTTTTTCTCTCCTATTAATAAATGCATGCAGCCATTTTTATCCTACCTCTTAAGCAGTATATTATAAAATATTCACCGAAATTGATCGTAGTTTGGTGACGTGAAAAATGTTCATCGATTCACAAGGCCGTGAAATATTTATTAAAACATCTGGTTACAAGATTTGTCAAGCTGTCACATTCTTAAGGAATTTGAATGGAATACAAATATCAAGTATTGGTTGAAGGATAGGGTCAATCACTGAGTTAATGCTACACGCTGGTCATTTAGTGTAATGCAATGAATTTTGCCAGGGCAGTGGAAATGGCGTTCTATGTCTGTCAACACTACAAACTCCATTCATGGTCGAATGAATTTGAATGAACTACAAATATCAACTATTGGTTGAAGGAAAGGGTCAGTCACGGAGTTAGTGCTACACGCTAGTCATTTTGTTCAATGCAATGAATTTTGCCAGTGCAGTGGAAATGGTGTTCTATGTCTGACAACACTACAAACTGGTCATTTTGGGCAATGCATGGTCAAACGAATCTTGCCCGAGCAGATGAAATGGCGTTTAATGTATGTCAGCATTACACACTCGTGATTTTATGCAACGCAAGATCTAATGAATTTTGTACGGGCAGTGGAAATGGCGTTTAATGTCTCGTCAATGCTAAACACACGAACATTTTGTGCAAGGGAAGGACAAATAAATGTTGCCTGGGTAGTGGAAATGGCGTTATATATATCTCGCCAATACTACACACAGACCATTTTGTGCAATTAAGAAATCTTATGAATATTGCCCGGGCAGTGGAAATGGCATTTAATGTCTCGTAAAAGCTACACATCGTCCATTTTGTGCAAGGCAAGGACGAATGAATTTTGCCCGGGCAGTGGTAATGTGATTTAATGGCTCGCTACACACTGGGTAAGACGAACATTGGGACTTTAATCCCAGTTTCAACTACACAGTAATCATTTATGTACATTATCTATTAATGCAAAGAAGTCGGTCTTGAGCCATCTTACTCCTTCTTACATACAAGTGTTGAGTCGAATCGATAGGGGTGGGGGCTGGTGGGGGTGGGCGAATGGTCAACGGTTTCGATTTCCCGCTTGCATATGACAAGGAGTAAGGTCGCCTGTCCAACCTCTTGGGTTTTCTCCAGGTCTACCAGTTACCTCCCATTGCTAAATACCCCTGCTCGCAAGCGAATTAATGAAATGATTTGTACCATATGTTAGTCCCAAAATGAAATAGTTTGTATCGAGTGTACGTTGAACTCTCTCTCTCTCTCTCTCTCTCCCATCTCTTTCTCTAATCGGTGACAGATATAGTGATCTAACTCGTTCGAGATAGACCACACATATTTTGTGTTCGGGGTAGGTAAGGTAGCCCAGTCCAGTGTCTGTGATTCTCCTAAATCGGCGAATAACGACACGAAAATAAAAAGAAAAAGAAAATAAGAGGGATAATGCGACTTGATGACCGGGATTCCTTTATTCCCCGCGTATTTTTTTTATTCTGCTGTAAAAATCAGCACATGGCTGTGAATTTTTATAGGAGAATAAAAAAAAAACCGCGGGAAATAAAGGAATCCCGATCATCAAGTCTGGCGTTCGGCGTTTTTTGGAGAACCACAGACACCGTAGCTCAGTCTCCTTCCCTAGATCCCTTGTAATTGAAATGAACGTGTTCAGTAAACTCCTTTTATTTCAGTTTTATTCCGTTCAGCGGCGTTTATTTTTAAAGTTGCAATTTCATATTATTAAGTCATATTTTTAAAATTTATTAAAATAAAGCCTTAAAATAGATGGTATCTATAAACAGTCCTACCTTGTTAAAGAATAATCCTATTAATTCTATAATTCTCTATTGCCAGTTGAGAAATTGGCAAAAATATTTTCATCTTCAAATTCCAACGTTTGAAGATAGCCACTCCATGGTGGAGAATAGAAAACAAAGGAGGTAATTGTGTTATTATTTCCGGTGTAAATGAGTTTTAAGTGTGAGAATGACACCTATGATCGTATAATAGTGAGTTGACAACCTATTGAGCAAAAGACATAGAAATAATTATGATTTGACTTTCTTAGAAAATATGAAATTGTAACTTTAACATAAAAATGTCATACGTTTTCAAACAACTTAAACTCGTCAGTCTTCATCTGGAATGGAGACCGGTGCCCCAAGCTGTATTATGCCATGTCTGGATTAAACCAGGCTTTTATTTTATAAAAATAATGTGTAGGTGAAATTTACCTTTCTTTATCAAGTACAGCACATTGGTCATTCACTGTATAGACCTCTAAAGGAACGGGAATCGATTATCAGGTCAGCCAAGGAAAAAAATTGACCAGAAATCTTAAAAGGGTTACGTGTCCGGATAAGCAGTTTTGATGTCCACGTCCAAACGACTAAATATTTTGAGCTGAAATTTTGGGACAAGGTAAATACACCATTCCTCCATATGTTGGCGTTTAAATTTCATACGTACTCAAATTTTTAATTTTGAGACTCTGTTCAAATCGGGATAGTCCCTTTAAGGCCAACTCAATTTTCGTCAAGGTCGCTAAGATGTAAATAAGGTTTGGGCACGTGATTGTTGGCTCTCGGGTGAGAGTCACATTAATGCGTTTCCTACTCTAAGGATTGGATTTTCTAGAAATGAGGTTTTTCCATTATCCCTGGGTTAGAGCGAGGTATTCTTATAACTACAGGTAGTTGATTTTATTTACTAAGGGTTAGTGCTTGGGTTTGATATATTGTTTGCTTTGGGTTAGGATGAGGACTGGTGTTATTAAGTCCAATTTACTATGCACTAACATGTCGTTCAGATTTTTATTTTTAGAATATGCAATTATAAGTTTCCGTGTGAAGATTTTCGGGTGATTTTAATGGAGATCAGTATAGTGTTTTCTGATAATTTTGCATGCACTTGATGGGAGAGAGAGAGAGAAATGGGGTTTAACGTCCAATCGACACAAACTAGGTCATTTCGGGACTAACATATGGTTTAATTTTATTTCAATAATTCGCTTGCGCGTAGGGGTCTTTAGCAGTGGGAGGAAATCGGAGGACCTGGAGAAAACCCACGAGGTTGGACAGGCGACCCTACTCCTTGTCATGTACAACGGGGGATTCGAAACCACGCCATAGTTGACTCAATGACAGTCTTTGGGGGTAATCGATTGAACGTTCCGGAATTGAATTCTCTCAATCCCAAAAATAGTGACAATCGAGTGAAAAGTTGGAGTTCGGGCTACAACTCCTGCGTCGACTGAATAAGTAAATATCTCAACCAACCATGCAGCCGAAACCTTTTAATTACGTCACGATTCTACTCACACCACCTCCGTTATCGGGACTGACAGAACTGTGACAGAACTGATTTCCGCGGTACTCGATTGCAATTCTGTCAATTCGGGACGTTCTGGACTGTGAATCGAGCATCCCCTTTATGATACAGCGCGCACGTGCTAACCATTCGGCCAAATACCCCCCCCCCCCGCACTAGATGGGACTACATTGCGCTAGCCGTATGAATATTCAAACCTAAGAGGGCTGTTGTTTTCAATTTGTCAATCCAAAACGTTTTAATTTCTTCTGTAGTTTCAAAGTCGCTCTTAGTCTTTTCTATTGGTGTGACAATGAGATCAGAAATGTCATGATTTGGTTGATTGAAGTGAACCGAGACCGGTTTGTCTTTGATGGTTTCTATGTCTGACGGGTGACCGTTAATTCTTTCACAAAGTGCAATTTGGGTCTCCCGTACGTATTATTTGTCACATTGTCTAAATTATGTTTGAACTACTGCATGAAAATTGGTCTAATATTGGAAATTGTGTGCCAGATGTTTTGTTATGGAAATGGTCGGATATGTTTAGGATTTGGTATGTTTGACATCATGGGTGGCCACAAGTTTTGGTTTTAACTGCTGACTGCATATTATTTGTGTCTTTGACGGCAGTTTCAGCTAGGGTAAAGGTTAGAGCTAGGTCTAGAGTTAGGGTTTGGATAGACCTAACCTAATATAGGCCTACCATGTTCCTCAATCCTTTTGTTTGAATAAAATATTGTTTATACAAAAAAATGCCCGTCGCCATATCGGCTTATACCCAATGTACAACATACCGGTCTAACCATGACACGAACAGAATCTTGACAACAGATTAAAGATAAAATAAAACGATCCCGCCCTGATCTCGCTGATTTAACAAACAAAACAACCTTAATAAAACCTTTATCTATTTATTTGTTGCACAAGACCTCCAAACTTACAAAGTCTTCCGTTCTATGAGATTTCAACATAATTTATCTTGTTTTTTCCTTTCTCTCCTCTTTTTCTGTTTCTCTTTTTTTTCTTTTTCTAATTATCTAGTCCTTTGGATGGAACCAAAAACCGAGGTCCTGTCTACACATTGGCGTGTACGTAAAAGAACCCTTGTCATTTGGAATTCGATATAAGAGTAGGCCATAGCGCCGCTCTCAGGGCAAAATTCCCCCCGGTCTTCATTAGCTCAGCTGGAGCAGAACAGTAGGACGTTAAACTCCATTTCCATTGCATTTCTAATCATCTCTTTTTTTCGCTTTTAAGTTTAACGACTGCTTTCACAATAGTGGTGGGGGATTGGATGGCCGAATGGTTAACGCGTGCGCGTTGTATCATAAGGTCCGTCATTGAGTCAACTGACGTGGTTTCGATTCCCCGGTTGTACGTGACAAGGAGTAGGGTCGCCTGTCCAACCTCGTGTGTTTTCTCTGCATTCTCCGGTTTCCTCCCACTGCTAAAGACCCCTAAGCGCAAGCAAATTATTGAAATAATATTGAACCATATGTTAGTCCCGAAATAGTCTAGTTTGTGTCGAGTGGACCTTAAACCCCATCTCTCTCCTCTCTTTCTCTCTCTCTCTCTCTCACTCTCTTTCTCTCTCTCTCGCAACAGGGGTATCACTGATTTCACAACTAATGAAAAAAATGAAATGAAATGGAGTTTAACGTCCTACTGTTTTGCTCCGAACTGGGCTAATGAAGATGGGCATACGCCATACAGTGTGCTATGAG